AGTAAAAGTACTTTGGATTTCCTTCCCATGGAGTCTCTTAGTCTTTCTTTCCTAATTATGTAATGGAGTGATGCTGACATTTTCATTTTCACCAACCTCAGCCAGAATGGCAATGGAAAAGGCCCAAAATCTTTATTACACTGTGATCTAATGAGTCAAATTGGGGTTGAGTATGCAACCAGGCCATAAAACATCAAAAATTACAAAGTATTTAGAAAACAGTTATATCTTGAACCTAAATTTGATATATCCAACTTAGTACGGTCACTTTCAGGCTTTCAGATTTGAAGCACGGGTCTGTCCTATAGTCCAGCAGGGAAATGGGACCAACAGAACAAGAGACCTTTAGTTGACCATTGAGCTAGTAGGAGACCATTTTCCCAATCAACTGCTGAAGTAAAAGCAATGGCTTTGAGGTTTTCCAGCTTTTCCCAATAGTCGTATTACCTGCCACATAACCATTTCAACTTCCTATTTTAAACTGCTAATTAGATGCAGTACATTTGCATTTTCCTAAACTGAAACATATCGAAGGAGGTAAAAACTTAACAGCTTTTGAAGCTGGAAAGAGTAATGGCTGCAGATAAAAAGTGGCAGGACTAAAGATTGCCTATTATAGAGCCTATATTAGAGTTTTACAAGTCCCACACCTGAAAATACAAACAAAAGAATGTGCGCTGCTGATCTTCAACCAATCCAATCTGTGGAGGTCCCAAGAGTTGCCAAAAACACAGGCTATCCATTCTTGGGTTGGAGATGCACAGGGGGCTGAAGCAGCAGCTGAATGGAAAAGCACAATTTCTTTTTCCTATTATTTTTTTATATGCACGGTAACATGAATCAGTTCTCAGTTATGACAAGCTTGTGCTGTGAATGGTAGGAAACATGAGGCACCACTAAAACAAGTGCTAAAAAGTGTTGTAAAATCACTGTACAACATACCCACCATATTGGTTCACTTAATATATGTTGTATTGTTTCCATATTGGAATACTGTTTGTCTTTCCCCCCCTCCCTTTTTGAATTGTGAGCCGCCCTGAGTCCCCCCAGGGAAAAGGCATACAAATAAAGGAAAAATGTAAATGTAAAAAATGTAAATGTAATACCAAACTACTGTTTCCCTTAAAATAAGACCTACATGGCCACTGGCCCACTCCTGCTTGATCGCAGCCATAACAGAGCAGGAGGCTGAGTGGCCTATTGGTGCCATGGTCACAAGGCAAGGCAGTGTCGGGGCATGTATGGCCTGGTTGAGAGGGCTTGAGGTAAGCTGGTGCAGGGTACATGGGGCAGCTCCAACACCACCCTGCCTTGCAGGAGTGGCACTGGTGCACAACGTGGCCTCTGCTCCACCACAAGCAAGTAGAAGTGGGCCTCCTGTACCTGGGGGAGGGAATAAGACACCCCCGAAAATAAAGCCTAGTGCTTATTTTGGGGCCCAAAAGAAAACAAGACCTGGTCTTATTTTCAGGAAAACACGAGTAGTTTCTCTTTGGATTCAATGTGATTTTTTCTCACCTGTGCCCACTTCAACTGTTTGGTCTGTTGCTCAAAGTATTGCCAAACTGTGTCTCACCTGGCTATTTCTGCTATCTCTGCAGTCTGCACAATGAAATTGTAGGGATCCTGTTCACCATAATCTTCATCTTCCATCTCTCGGCTGCTGCTATGCTTCTGTTTATTCAACCCGGAGCTGCGGGTCCTGGGAGTCTGGGTGGCTGTTGAGGCATGGGAGCGTTTGTGTTTAGGGGAACTGTGATTTGAGCCATACTCCTCCTCGGAAGTGGAAGTATAATCTGAGCCCTGATGCCGCCGCCTCGAAGCTTATATAAAATGAATTGGTTTTCAGATGGTGGTAAGGAAGAAAAAATTGAAGAAAAGTAAAGACAAGACTTCAAAAAAGCCATAACACAAATGCAATCAGCCCAAGAAAAGGAGGAGTAAGAAAACTTATGTGCATAGCATGAGATGGAAGAGATTTTTAATAGGTGAAAATCAAATAGCTTGCACTTTAGCTGGAATGGATGTAGATGACCCAATTATCACACACTTATCACACATCTGTCATACGCTTCATTTCCAATGATCTGGTGGCCACTTGCTAATGTTTTCATCATTGCTTGATAAAACATGCTCCCCAGTGAAGAGATATTATTCCATTTGGAAGCTGAGCTGATCACATGCTCAACTGGATCCCTTTCCCCAGCCCCTCAATCGGGCAAGACAAGGCACTTCACTGCAATGACCCAAGCACTGAAAAAATAAAACAATGCTCCAAACTGCACAAAATCTTCAAATTTCATTTCAAATTTCACTAGAGATTTCTAGTAGAATTTCCATGTACTATACCACCTCAAAAGATTTTAGATCAGAACACCAAACGCCTTGCCTGAAGTCTTGAAAAATATGAAAAAAATACAAAATCACCAGAAATTTAATGATCTTCTGAGATCAGCTATCTTTTACAGTATATTTCTAATTTTGTGGTTCCATCAAATTTAATGTTGCCAATTCCTGTTGTTCAGGAACCTTTAGTCGATTTCCTTTCTGAAGTTTTATCTAATGTGCAAAGATTATGGGTAGAGTTAGATGGGCACATAATATTAGGGATGAGCTGTTTCACACCGACCCACGTTCTACATTTGTTAGTTCCTCATATAGCCAACACTTGAATAGAGCTACAGGCAGACAACCAGGGAGAAGCAATTCTTCCTATATGGTTAAGAACCAATTTATAACAACCTCTCAAGCAGTAGGAATAATTCATCAGATCAAGCACAAATGTGTGATGAAATGTGTGGTAAAATGGTCATCCCCCATCTGTCTGTTGTCATAAGTTAAATTAATCATTATCAATGAACAAAAATATTTGGCAAGGCAGATATACATATAACCATAAACTTTGACACGGTAGGATTTTTCTACACGTGGCATGGGTTTTTCATCTCAATGTGCACGAAAGGCCCCAAGAGAGTCAATTAGGCAAGTTAGTTTTCCATGTATTAACCTTAGGAATCATTAATTTCAGATGGCTCCATTTCCAAGTACAAGTAAGCAGCTCTAAGGCCAGCAGGAAAAGCAGAAATGTTTGTCTTGTTTACACAGTCAGGAATAACTACAGGTTCCAATAAAGGAGAATATTTGTAGCTCAGGGTTGAAATGAGGGGTCCTTGGTGCTCTCTGAGATTGTTTGTTTTCTTGCAGACGTTTCATTACCCAATCTAGGTAACATCATCAGTGCTGGTAAGACGCAAACCCCACTCCTTATACTAGACCCCCTCATACTACCAAGTTACTTAAATTGGTATTCAATTCGGCATTGCTATTTTTTTATTCGGTGGTTTCAAACTTTCCAAAGCTGCTTATAAGAGGTTTGAAGATGGAGATGATAATTTTAATAAAACAATGGTTCAATCCTCTCAGCAGGATGTTTACAGCTAAACTGTTGACTATAGAAACTGCAAAAATGAAAAAGAAAGCAAAAATTCAACACTTTAGACTGGACCTGAAAATAATCTAAGTCTGCATTCTACACTTTATATTGGCTGTGACAGCATGGCAGCAAAGAAAATTTAGAAGAAAGCCAGTGAGCCAAAGCCTTTATTTTAAATAAGACATAATTTTTTTCCCTTTTGCTATGGAATGACCCGATTCTGAATTGCCTTGTTTATGTTTATTAAATTTATATGCCACCCATCTCACTATTGAGTGACTCTGCAGCTTACAACACCATATTATATGCTGAAACCCAGAAAACTACCCAATAGCTAACAAATCTAGCTTGTTTTAGACACTATCTACATTAACTTACCACAATTTTCCAACTGCTAGAGAGGGATCTTAAGTGTTCATTTTCTGAGATGCCAGAAATGAAAATCAAGCCTTTCAAAAGAGCTTTTATTCCTGAATTATAGGATTTACCCTGATCTCCAATCTCTACTAAACTAAACACTCAAGCCAACAGACACAGGCTGGTACTACATGGCTATTTATCTCCGCAAAGAACAGAAACCTGCAAATGACTTCAACTTTCCAAGTCTTTTTGTTTAATCCAGCAATTAAGACTTGTTAACAAACAATGGGGAATTAATTACTTCAGCATTACTGATTGCGTAAACAGGCAGTGAGTGAAAAAGAAAACTCTGCAAAAAGGGTAACTTGGTAGTCTCACATGTTATATACAAGAGATTTAATCTGTGGGGCTGTGTGTGGCCTTCACGCTGTACATAATGATGAAGAGTTAAAGGCAAAGGCCTGCCGAAATCAGATGTCCCTGGCTGCATTTACTGGTTGCATTTACTGAAGGACTAATCCATTCATTTTTTTTTCTGTTGTAACAGCTCTCTTGAACTGTGTACAGATAGTCCTTGACATACGACAATTGAGCCCCAAATTTCTATTGCTTAAGCAAGGCAGTTGTTAAGTGAGTTTTGCTCCACTTTATGGGGCAAAACTCATTTCTTCCCACAGTAAATCACTGCAATTGTTCAGTTAGTAACACAGTTATTAAGTGAATCTGGCTTCCCCACTGACTTTGCTTGTCAGAAGGTCGCTAAAGGTGATCACATGATACCAGGACACTGCAATTGTCAAAAAACATGCTAGTTGCCAAGCATCCAAATCTTGATCACATGACCATGGGGCTGCTGCAATGCTTGTAAGCGTGAAAAATGGTCATTTTTACAGTGCTGCTGCATCTTCAGTCACTAAACAAATGGTTATAAATCGAGGACTATCTGCAACTTCCTGAACTGTTGGACTGCACTCCAATCTGTTTTTTGAAAGTAATGATTCAGAACTGCTGTGTGAGGTTCTTTTACCTAAAACAACACTGGGTTTAAAGTTATCTATGCTTATTTGTGTAAATGAATTCACAAGAGATGAAACCATGTTATATAGGTTATTAGTCAAGACTGAATGTTGAAACACTTGTAGAACTGCCCTTCTACAAACTAGAGTCAATGCAGGAGAAGTAGAAAGTCCACAACCTACAGGACATTAGTTAGGGTAGAAATATTAGTCGTGTAGTGATTGGGGTGGACTCCCAATCTTAACTTCTACACTGAAACTTGTTAGCCATTGCTTCAAAACACTAGAAGACAAAAACCAATTCATTTGAAACAAAGAGTGGGCAAAATTAAGATTGAAGTGAAATAAGCAGCTTTGCCCCAAAATACATGATCCGTAACTTTGGGTCCTTACTGTCCATGCACTATTATTTATGTAGTCCATTTATATGTGGTGCCATTGAAAGGCTTTAATTCATTTGAACGCTTGCCTTAAATATTCACAAGAGATAAACTGAAATTCCTTATAAATAAATGGTTCTGCATATTCCAAACTCATTCCCTGGGGAAACACCAAGTTATAGTCATTTCTTACACTCTTGTTTCTCCCAGTGCTAAATAAAAAACACAGGAGTTGGTTAGTAAAATAATGCAGTTTGGCAGGAAGTTTGTCTTCAAAACTTTTGGATGTCAACTCCTATTGGTTCCAGGCATTATTGCAACTGGCCAAAATCGTGGGAGGTGCAATCCAAAATATCTGGAGAGCGTAGTGGCTAAGAAACTCAGTGGCTAAGACACTGAGCTTGTCCATCAGAAAGGTCGGCAGTTTGGCGGTTTGAATCCCTAGTACAGGTCTCCTGCATGAGCACGGGGTTGGACTAGATGACCTCCAAGGTCCCTTCCAACTCTGTTACTCTTACCTCATCCTACACTGATATGACTTGAACTACGTGTGCATATCTGATGAAAATGGACTACGCTGACAAATTGTGTTTTCTGTGAATATAATCCTCTACAGAGGAGACCATGTCAATTATAGCTGCTTTGCCATTTGAACCTATACAGTTGTTGTTTTATGATTTATTAAATTTATGTGCTGCCGGTCTCATTACTAAGTGACTTATATCACATCGATTTTGCCAGTATAATCTAGAATTCTAATTTAGAAGATACTGGAGGGTGATTTATGATTCCCCATAAATTGCTTAATGTAAGAAATATGCAGTTTTGGCACTTTGAGGAGCCATAGAAAATTCAAAAGAAGGATATTGAGGAAATGCAACCCATTTTTTTCCTAGCCATAAGCAGAACATTGTGCCTTATCTAAGGAGCTATCCAGATGAAAATTATAAGAGACTGGACATGCAGGATGGAGACACAATGACTTTGAACATGACAGTTGCATTGCAATAGCCTTTGAGATTTGAAATAAACAAATAAGAAAGGAATTCTGGTTGATTATTCAAATACAAAAAGTAAAAATATGAGGCAGGATTATATTATGACATGGGTTAGAGACATCTCTGTTATCCTTTGCATAACTTAGGCGATTTGTGTTGGAAAATCATAATTATAAAGAAAAAAAAGTGCAAAGACCCAATTACTCACTGGAGGTAGAGGCATATTTCACACTGCTGGAACGTGTCCTGCTGAAAGATTGCTTGGAAGCAGCTACCACTGCTGCTGTTTTCTTAACAGCGTTTTTAGCTTCTGACACAAGCGGTTTTCGGGTAGAATAGTACGACTCTGCACTGCGCCCAGAAAAGGTTGGCTTTGATGGGGCACTTTCAGAGTCACTTGGCACCGTGAAAGATCCTGCCCGTTTCCTTGGCATGGCAAGAATGTCAAGCCTTGAGAGCTTCTTGGCCTCTACCGGTTGCTTGGAAGATGCTGTGGTTCCCTCAGGGTGTGCTGCCGTTTTCTCCGTGTCAGCACTCTCGTTGTCTGAGGTATCTCCCAATCGGGCTCGGCGAAGTTTGGAGGCTCTCGTGGGCCTTGGGGTCGATAGACTATTTGACCTGGTAAGAACTTGTTGAATCTTTTGCACCGTTGTGGTTACCTTGTTGTGATCTTCTTTGGTTGACTGTGAGAAAGGCTTCTTTCTAGAAAGAGGCCTTGAGGGGAGCTGTTCCTGATCAGAAGAGGCTATTTCACTCGGAGGCAAATACGGGAGGCTGCTACTTCTCTCATCATCTGTATAATCCTGAGACCCACTTGTTCCTACGCTGTGTTTCACTTGAAAACGCCTTGCATTTTCACCTTTGCTCCCAGTCTCGGGTGGGATTGCTTTCCGTTTTTCTGAAAGCCTGTCGCGTGCACTAGCTTGAATATTTTGCTCTTGGCCAGACGGCGTGGACAACGACCTCTCTTTCTGTAAAGGTGACACTGATTTTTGCTTTGGTGGGTGACTTGGCAGATTTTTACCACTTACCAAGCTGACCGTGCTGGCTGTGTCCACATCCGACTCTCCAGATAGAGAGTCTTCTAAGTGCCCAGGAGGATTTTCGGGAGCATCGAGCTGGTGAGTTTGACAAAGAATTTTGGCTTCCAAGGCTGCCAGGGCAGTTTCAGTGTCTTTAAGAAGGAGATGGGTCTCAGGATTATAGTCCATACGATTTGCTCGTGTGACCTCAAGATCTTTAAGTAGAGGGTGGCTTGAGATATGCGGTAGCCTGTTTTGAGGAATGTTGCTGCTTGATTTCTCTTTGGTAAAACTCTCTTGTCTAACAAAAGATGAAATTTCTTTTGTGGCTACAGCTTGTTGTTCTGGTAGTCCCTGGTGTAATGACATAACCATTTTCCCATTTGAGTAAAGACATGTATTGTTCATTCCTTTGGCAGCTGTCTTTCCATACTTGAAAGGAGGTTCTTCTTTGTCTATTTCAGGAGGATGAGGAGGTATGCTTGAAGGAAGCTTTGAAGGAACCCCAATCTCTTCTGCCTCATCATCTATATAAAAAGATGCTGACAGGGGATCACTTAGTGCTCTCAAGCCTGAAAGTCTTGGCATAGGACACTGAGAGCTTCTAGACTTTGCACTTTCAGCCCTTATTCGACTCTGTTCAGATGTTTTGGTGCCATCTTGGCTTTTCCTACCTTTTTCCAAGTTGATACCATCATCAGATTTGCTGGTATCACTGAGGCTATCTGGATCCAAATCTTCCTGAGTTAACAATCGATTGTCAGAATCCACATATATTTCTTCCCTGGAATCATTACTAAAGTTCCTTTGGGAAACTTCAGGAAAGATCTCGTGACAAATTAAAATAGCCGGTGTTGGACTTTCCAATTTTTCACCTGGAGGGAGTTGAGGAAGAAGTCGTCTGGTCCGTGATGCCACTGAAATCTCAGACTCTCCCATTCTGGGACTGGAATCCTTTTCTGAGAACGATAGGGAGACAGTCATTAAACTCAAAAATTAAGATGTCCTGTTGTATGCAAAGATAGACAGCTTTGTGTCATCTTTGTCTTTCTTGTGTTCTTAGCTTTGTCCCACTCATCACACTCTATAGCAATGTTGGTGAATCTTTTCAGCACTGAGTGCTGAAACAGAAGCGCGCACGGAGGGAACACCCAAAACCAGAAGAGCAGCTCCCCGGCACGCACATGCGGGAGCACCGGAAACCAGAAGAGCAGTTTCCTGAGCTACTGGTTTCTGGTGTGCACATGCGTGGCAGTCATCTGGTCTTCCAGTTTCTGGCACACATGCGAGCATGAAGACCAACTGGCTGGTGCACATGTGTATCCCGGAATCCAGAAGAGCAACATGCCCGGAGAGATGGCTCTGTGTGCCACTTCTGGAACGCATGCCATAGGATCACCACCACAGCTCTATAGAGAAAAGTACTATTGAAACATGCTTTTTCTCTCCATAAACTTTCTTGCCAAGATTTTAGAACTGATTTTCTAGAATTCTAAAATATTCCAGAAAGCTTCATAAATAAATTCAATTACATTCCATGGGAGAAGAAAAGGCATGAAAGAAGGGAATTAACATAGAAAACTTATTTCCGTATTTAGTGTTTTGATGCATGGAGAACAACTAAACTCTGCTTTAAAATGTGTACTTTGAAGGCATTTCATCTCTCCTTTTTCCAGAATTTTTTTGACATGAGTAAAATATGGCAGCATGAACAGGCTATTTCATCAAGCTCAAATTGTAGGATACATTTTTAAGTTTTAAACGTCATCAAATGGAGTCTGTTAAATTTCAAGCCAACGTATAATACCATTGGTTATGGCATTTTTCTGAACAAATTGAAGGAACTGATACTTGAAGTCATTGCAATTGCAACATCTCCAATCTTTCCTATTAGTTTGTGTCCAGATAGTATGAAGTGAGTGAACCCACAGATAATGGACCTGTGAAGTTCCACAGTTTTCTGTCCTGTTTTTATGTAGTGTCATTGGGAAGGGTCCTCTGGAGTGAAATGTTAATAGTGACATTCATCTCTACTATTTTATAAAATCTAACTCCAAATGACTGGTTGATACTCTTTAATATTGCCTAAATGAGATGGTGAGATGGCAGAGGTGAATAACCTGATATTGTATCAAGAAAGGATGGAGATTTTGTTGTCAGTAGGGATCCCAAATTATATTGGAATGCAACAACTCACTATATGTTGTCAAAGGATTGTCAAATGACATGGAAAACTTCATTTAATTTATTATGTCAGCTGTGTCCATTTCTAAATTATCTACATTCTATCTAAAATATTGCAATGTAGTATATGCTAATTCTTGTTAAGTCAACCAAAGTCATTGATAGATAGACAGCCTATAAATTTAAACTAATAAACCTTGAGTTGAAAAGTTTACATTGATACAAAGCACACCTGCAATGTAGTTTACTTTTGACTATGTCACTTCAATACTGAAAGATTTTCATTACTAGCCAATTTGAATTCCAAAACAGAAGCTACTCACATTTGGATATGGGGAAAGTTCTTCAAGTATCACAAAGTTTGATATTGCCACCTATATAAAGGAATTCTTACCAGCAAAATTAACCAGTTTAGGAATTTTAAGTTTGGAACATAAACCTAAATTTAAAACAATGGAAAATGGGTACAGAAACAAGGTGATTTTATACAGTTAAAATCCTTTGAAATGCTAGAATGATATCAGTTGCTTTACGTACCTGTGCTAACCTGACAGTGGGGACCCTGCTCGGCTTCCACAGCTCCAGGGGCAGAACCTGAGCCCGGGTAGCTATCTGCAAGGCTTGCCCATCTTGAAATCCATTTTTGGCTGCTTTGGACTGAAGATGACACCTGCAAAAGATGAAAGATGTGACATGGTTAAAACAAGATCGTCCAAAGTTTAGTGTGGCATTTTAAAATTCCATCATAGCTGGATATTCATAAGTATCTGCTTTGCTGAAGCACAGAGATGGATTGAGGTCTGAGTTTTGAAGGAAAGTGAGGGATCAATGGAAGCTTCAATGGAAAAACAAATTCCTTTTCAATTCCTCTACAGCAGGAGTGTCAAATTCATGGCCCATGGGCCGGATGCATCACGTGCTGGCCACGCCCTTCCCTGGTTTAGTGAAGGGGGAGAAAGTTGTGACAACAATGTGACACCGCGAGTTTGACTCCCTTGTTCTCCCAATGCTGTCCTTTCAGGTTTTTCCTGACTGGAAACGCTGCCATTGCTGCCTCCTCCATGTGTGCTACCTCTGCTGGGAACGCTGGAGCCTTTGTTGTTGAGTAGCTGATTGGCGGTTGGATCAGCCTCCCAGATTGCCGCTGCCTAGAATAGCTGATCGGCGGTATTCCGGGAGGCCGATTCAACCGCCAATCAGCTGCTCGGCAGCGAAGGCTCCAGCATTTCCTGGAGGCAAACGGCGGCAGCAGTGACACCAACCCCCTCCCACCGTCACAATATTTGCTCTATGAGATGCACAGACATTTCCACCCACTTTGGGGGGGTGGGGGAGTGTATCTTATAGACCGAAAAATACCGTAAATCCAAACTTTTGAATACCATAAATTACATCAAAAGGAAAACATTCTTTTAAAAATGCATTAATTGCAGTTCTATTTACTTAAACATTCAAGTCAAGTGTGCAGGTGAACAAGAAGATAAATATTATTTATACATATCCACTGTACCGGTATATCTCCATGATGACCACTTGCTACTTTGGACGCAATGACCTGCATCATCGTCACCTTTGGAGCTGAGCCGTTTTCTCCAAACAAGTGATTGTGCCCTAATTCTTCTTTTTCACCTTTTATAACTGGCCTGAAGGTTGAAGAAGTTCTGGAAAATTCAGGAGACTCCAAAACACCAAAAACCTGGTGACGAGAAAAACAAATCCCCCCCACTTAACATCCTCATACTGATTCATCTTCAGTTCTGAGTTAACAGGTTGAGAGTCACTTTCTTACAGATTTTTTTTTCATCTCGGCATGAAAAAAATCAAGATCTGGGAGGCCAGAAGCAAGCAAATGAGGTTCAATCAGTCAGCTATCAGGTGACAAGGATGTTACTCTTGCAATTATTAGTCTAATATGGGATGAATCAGAGAAATATGTCACCACATAAAAACTGGGAAAGGCAAACTTTGCCTTCCTGATATTTTGAACTTCCAAGTCCACCCCTGTCAATCCACAGGCTGAGATGCTTGAGGATATGAAAGCGATACTGCAATTTAAATTACTGGTGCTTCTCCTTTCACATCTTTTTTTAACCATATTTTATCTACTTTTGCATAAGGAAGTATTAGTTTAGACTTTAGGACAAATAGGGAAATGCATTCCAAATTGATACAGCTATCAATTATTATGCATGCCTACCTAGACTGTAATTATCAACCAGCGTGCAGGTGTTCACAATCCCCCTATTCATGCAGTTCATGCAAGGGCAGGTTTATCAAACCCCAAAGAGACAAAACTGTTGTAATAGTTCACGGGGTTCCTTGAACAAGCCATAAGAATATACACACATAGCAGAGAATGTGTGTAATTTCAAGTTAGCCTGTTGCATTGTTAGCCATATTTCATAGTTGTAAATGTCATTCCTATACTAGATAACATTATCAGGTGGGGATGATGAGGGGAAATGAAGTCTCTTGCTTGGCAATGGTTTGTATCTCAGGAAAGTTTGACACTTCCCTGAGCTGTTGTAATTACAACCTCCTGTCCTTATTTAGTACAGCTCAAGGCAGCATGTAAAAGGATCCCACCTTCCATACAACAACTTTGGGGGTTGGATTAGACTGAGAGAGTCACTGACTAGGCTTTCATGCCAAAGAGAAGCCTAAAACTTACGATCTCCCAGTTCCTATGTAGTTTTAACTTACTATAACTACTATACCAAATTCTCTTCATAGCTGAATTCCCGGGAAAGTAGTTAATTGCATGGAAATGAAACAGGATCTAAGCCTATTTGTCTACCAATTGCAGCTTGGTTGAGTGCCCTGTTTCTAAGCACTCTCTCACATTTTTTTAAACCTGGCTTGTTCTAAAATCTGCATTATTTCCTAACAGAAGTGAGATTAGTAACACAGCATTGTATCTTTTGACTACCAGCAGGTAGCAGTCAAGATGCTTCATCAGCCACATTTGACTGGAAGATTACAAGCTGCATAAGCTTAGCTAAGAAAAATAGAAATCCAGTTCTTTCGAATATTGCATGTAAAACAACACAGCCCCAATACCCTTTCTCTTTCTACATGCAATTATTTTTTTAATAATTGAATTTATTTGCCAGCCATTTCCCTGATAAGGCAAGCTTGTCAACTCCCCTGCTATACATGAGAATTAAGACTTAGCTACTGCAACTTTTTCTTCCAGTGCAGACATGACATTTTCAGTCAGGTTCAGCCACAGGGTTGGTATTATCCCAACTCCTTGGCTCTCACATACCCAAATCCTTTGGCCCTTCTCCATGAATGCCTTACTTAAGGGTGACTTTTGCAATAGTTTTAGTTGCGCAAGGTTAATCTGGGTTTTCATCAAAGAAGGGTTTGGCCGCTATCAAACCAATGATGAAAAGAAAACTAGTTTAGAATTTGCCATATTTAATGCAGTGCAAAAGTAAGTAAACTCATGAGCAAATGCAAGAGGGAGCCAAGGAAAGGCTATTAATCCCATTAATTTAGTTGGTCAGCAGCATTTTAGTGGATGTACCAGGCCTTACTATTCTTACCCCAAAGTTTTGGTTACCAATCTCCAAATGACAAAAATGCACTAGTTCCTTTTGTTTCTAAGAAATATGAACGTACCTGATCAATCATTTTTCGAGCTTCTTCTACTTCTTTATCCTGTGATTCAGTTTCAATAGTGTAAGTGCCTGTTTCACTCAAACTATCTTCCTCTTCCTGTTTCTTAGCTTTGGCCACTTTAGGATCAGCAATTGGTGGAGGAATTGTTTCTGGTGCTGTTGGGACAATCACTGTCCGTGAGCTTAGTGGTGTTGGCACAGGAGGGGGCTTTTCAATGTTGGGCTGAGTCGCTTGAACGCTTTCCCTTAAACATTCAGCAGCAAACTCTTGAGCTAATTTTGATTTCCTTCCAACACTCCCGTAACTTTTTACAGGTGTTCGTGATGTGGAGGATGGGGAAGGGCTGATCCGCTCATCTGCCTTCTCCCTCCTGAAGGAGCCTGCTCTTGGAGTGGTGAATGGATTATTGCTTGGTCCTTTGGTCCCTGTTGCAGGTGGATGTTGGGAGGGCATGGAACTTACTGGTTTCTCAGCAGGCACTGTAATTTTGCGTTTTTCAACTTTTGTCTTCAGGGTGGGATCGACCTCATTTTGGGTAGAATGGCCACTGTGTGTGAAAGACTGCGATCTTTTCTTCCGGGGCACGTCATCATCAAAGAACTCAATGACAAAGGCCTGCTGGTTGTGGAGCATTTCCTGGGGATCACGTCGAATTTGGCGCTGGAGTTTGGCTTGCTCTATCATTTGCTCATTGCTAACTGTCTCTTTCTCTGGCTTAGGTGCTACTTGGTCCTCTGAGTCACTTTGGGTTCCATCTTCATGTCTGTTACCTAAAGAATTGGAACACAGATCAGATTGTTCTAGGATAAGGCATGATTCCTTTCTATGTCACTACGTCAGTAATGTCCCCTTGCCCCTTCCTTTAGATAGCATTAGACAACCCAGGACCTATTGGGTCCTCATTTCAGAGAAATTTCCTTACCTAAACAGATAAAGAGAGTTACCATGGGCAGACCAAAAAAATCAGTGGGAGTGAAAGCAACCTTCAACTGTCTTTAGGCTTCCCCACTGACTCTCCTTGTGAAAAGCACGCAGGGACGTTAGAAATGATGACATGACCACAGGTGACTGTGGTGGCATGTCAGTACTGAAGTGGCCACAACTTTATCAAAGTTCAGTCCAATGGGATTTGAGACATATTATTTAAGGGAGTCCATTTGAGATACATTGATTCAAAAATTGCTGCCCTGTGACACACCGTTTCACCCGATTGTACGTTATCAAAAGACAAAACAGGAGAGTTTAGTGTATATATATTTGTCTATTAAGGGCTACCAATTACATTTACAAAGCACTAGGAATTTTAAACCATTGTTTTTGTTTTTGTTTTTACTTTAAAAAAGTAGGTCTTTTTGGATGTAACTATTTGAAATTATGACCTGAAAAGCCACTTCCTTACAACAAACATATTACTTTAAAGAGATAAGTCAACTGATATGAAATATATATTAAACCCAAGAAACACCTTATTGACATTTTTTACTAGAAATTCCCTACAATGCAGGAATCCATGTGTAGTTTCCTATGCTTTCCTGTTCAGATTATTTGAACAAATTCCATGATTGTATCTTCAAACCATGTTCCAAGCATGCTTAGAAACTTCATTTACAATGAAACAAGGCCTGCAGAACTTCTCATGCTACCCTTTCTCAGAAAGGGAAAAGAGGTTTGAACCTATTTTGTTTGGATTTCTACACGGTGCTCCTTCTCTATATCTTTAATTCCAAAATTTCCCTGGCTCTGAATTTTATTGTTTTAGTTTTATTTTTACATGTAACAAACAAAGCATAGAGCATCCATTCCTTTAGTGAGAGGTTTTACCTTTCAGAGTCTTCACATGAACAGGGAGGTCACTTTTTGTACTATATACATCATCTCCGGGAGACTGCCTTCTTATGAGGCTTGGATCATTATGCACCAGCCAGTCAGCCACTTTATTCTCTGCGGAGATAACTTCCACGTGGCCAGCGTCCTTGCTGAGGTTCCGTCTCTGCCTGAGGGAAAATTTAGTGACGTGGTCTTTTATCTTCATTTTCCCTGGAGTGCAATCATCAAACTCAATGGTAAAAGAGGCATGGCTCTGCACAACAGGTATCACTGCCACATCGACATCTTTGGTGGGGATCTCATGGACTTGCACCTCTGGAGTTTTTACTGGCTGGTGGAACTCTTTTGTTGGGATTTCGAAGTAGCTGGGTTCCCTACGGAATGCGTAGACAGTCTCGCCTTGAGATTCTCTGTAGCCACTGATGTTACCATTGATTTCTTCTTCGTGTTGGACTAAGTCTTTTGTTTTCTCTATAGGAGGAGGAAAGCGGCTCTCAGTTAAGTTTAACACCCATAAAATGTCAGCAATTTCACAATTTAATAACTTAATAACGTAACAAGTAATGCAGGTCAAACAACAAACCAATCCAAGACAAATATTAAAATGAATCACATCATGTCAAATTCCAACAAGCAGACCTAGAAAACTATCAGGAGAAAAAACTTTTTAAAAAAAAGTTCCTTTGGGGCTCTTCTGAAAGACTGTAAAGAGACATCCCTGCATACCCAGCTGATCCTGAGTTCCAGGAGCATGAAAAGGATGCAAGCCTTGTTCCTGCTACTCTACTCTTTTTCACAGATTGGCAGCTAAGAGAGGGTCTCAGTGGATAAACATATATATCAATATGGATTAAGGCAATCTATCTTGGTCCATAAATACTTAAAGGTTAGAAGGCCAATGTTTATGGAGCAGTGGTGGGTTCTGGATCCCGTTCCAACTGGTATGGTTGGAATGGGCCTGGCATTGTCCACATGGACGCGCGCATCACGTGCATGCGGCATACTTTCCAGCAACGCCTCCATGATGCTCCAGCTGCTCAGCGTCGCGTCACACAGCGGCTGTATGCGCCGTGTGCGTAAGCGCCAAAGACTTTAAAGACACACACTGCCTTCCCTTTGGAATACCGTTCCTTTCTACGCCTTACTTCTCCGACACCATCTCCCTTTTCTGCTTTAAAGACAAGGGTTTGGGGTTGGTTTTTTTTGCTGCATGCAAAAAGGCAGTATTTTGCTGGTAGGAACTGCAAACAACATTTATTGAGGGTTAAGAGCATGGACACGTCACTCAGGTAAGCAGAGGTCAAGGTACCCCATGGGCCCACATTCTCATGTTGCTTTGAAGGGATGGGCTTCTCTGCAATCCTTCCTTCCTAATAAATGCACATGTAGATCCTAATGCAAGACAGGAGTATCTTAATAAATAAGGGCAAGATAGAGATACTAAGTATGGAAGGGCTGGATCCTAAAGCTTATTTATGATAGACATGACTTTGCTGCTAAATGGGAGATAAGCTATACTGACCTGAATATTGTTCTTCTGGCCTTCTTTCACCTGTTGAATCCAGTTTATGGTTGGCATCATCCTCTCCCCACCATGATGGCCGGCCATAGAGTGGTGTGCGATAAGTAGTTGTCACCTCTGAGTACAAAAAATGTAGACAAGAAACAAACAGGGAGAAGTATGTGTTTTAATTAAGAACAAAATATCAACCTTAAAAAGTCAACCATTCACTTGTTATTTAGCTGGAAATATTGATATACTTTTTAAACAATTTCAAACTTTGGTTTCAAACCAAAGTTAGGAATGCCACCTTTGGTTAAGTTTCCACCATTTTTTCTTCTAATTTCTTTATAACTGAGGCCTTGTTCACTTAATAATACTATTTTACATCGCTTTCTGGGTGACCTGTCAATTCTTTGCACAATTACTTTAATTTTATTGCGTTCTACAAGCTCACTAAATGGAAGAACACAAAAAAACCCACCAACTTGATAGCAATCACATAACACACTAACAAATGTCCTCCTCTCAGATTCAATACATGACATAAAAAACTGAATCCTACTGTGATCTGATTGGTTCATTGCCAAAGCAAGATGACAACTGATTGGCTTTCTAAACACTGATGCTCATTGGCTAAAATCAGATGAAGGAAAGCTACCTGACATCAACCTAAGCAAGTTGTGCTTCCCTTTTCTGATTATTTGGCTATAACGTTTCATAGAATACAGATGATTGAACAAACTGTATTGCATTACATTCTTGATATATAATTTTATGGTACTACTAAAAAAAGTCATTATTAGTCATCAAATACACTTTTCCCAAAAGGTTTCCACAATTTTGGCCACTTCTGTATGATAGTTGCAGTGTCCCAGGATCATGTGATCAACTTTTGCAACCTTCTGACCAGCAAAGTCAATGGGGAAGCCAGATTCACTTAACAATTGTTTTGCTAACTTAACAACTGCAATGATTCATTTAACAACTGTGGCAATGAAGGTTGTAGAATGGGGCAAATGTTACTTAACAAATGTCTCATTTAACAACATAAATTTTGGACTCAATTGTAAGTCAAAAATTATCTGCACTTAAGAAAAAGAATTTACAGAAAGTCACCAGTGCCTTTCATTTATTTATTGTTCACATTTGTGGAGTGCCCATCTTCCTCAAAGAGATGCAAGGTTGGCTTGTAATCATACTGGCATAATTAAAAATGAATCAATGTAACACCTGCATCTGGCCTCAATGCAAATTGCAATAAAAGAGATAATAAGATCCTTTAATTTGTCCAGCAGTTAGAATGAAAGATGTGTTATCAAAACAGATCTGTGATCCATGATTTAAATAAAAAAATTGTCATTGCAACAAACCCATCCTGTTTCCTAAGAGTCTGCATGACATTCCTATGAATTGGCAAATAGGCAGTTTTAATATTGTCAATAGTCTTACAGTCACCACAATATGTGTTTCTCCTCTATATTTTTGGCTACTGCTGACAGGAAAATACATGAAGTCATATTGTCAAGGCTCTGTTGATTCTTTGGAATTAGAAGAAAAGCAGTCCAGGTCTACCATGTGCTTAGCATAATCTCAAATTTGACCATAAATATTTATCCAATAGTCTGTCCAGGTCCACAATTAAAAAAAGATTCCAGCTCAATCAGGATGGAAATAATTTTTAAAAATGGAAAAGCAAAACAAATTGGGGCATATTGCCGTTTCTGTATCTTGTTATGCATTTATTTTTTTTATAGCACACCCCAGTCCAAGGATTTTGAGAAGGATACAACAAAATAAAACTGTAAATATAATAACAACAGATCAAACAAAAGATTCATGCTATACTTTTTCTTTATTCTTTGTTAAGTAAATCCAAGTTTGCCTGGTTAATCCCAATTCAGGACCTCATCTCCCTATCTTCAAAAAACAGGACCTACACCCAAGAGCATTTGCCAGGAAAAGTATGGTTAAAAACCTGAACTGCAAAGTACATTTTTTTCATCTTGGGAAGAATCAAACATGAAGAGAATTCTTCTGGAGACATTTATCCTAAATTAGCTTTCATATATGTAATATATAAATTATATATCTATATAAATATGTAATTCTATTAACAGGTAAGAAAGGCCCAATTAAGCAACAACTTTTTCTCTTTAAAAATCTTTTTAACTCTATTATCACTATTTCTTTGCAGTAATGTGAGGTTCAAATGATAGCAATAGCAATAGCAATAGCAGTTAGACTTATATACCGCTTCATAGGGCTTTCAGCCCTCTCTAAGCGGTTTACAGAGTCAGCATATTGCCCCCAACAACAATCCGGGTCCTCATTTTACCCACCTCGGAAGGATGGAAGGCTGAGTCAACCCTGAGCCAGTGAGATTTGAACAGCCGAACTGCAGTCAGCTGAAGTAGCCTGCAGTGCTGCATTTAACCACTGCGCCACCTCGGCTCTCAAATGATATGGCTTTTGACAGCATAGTACCAACAGAGAAACAGGCAGCTCCTGCCCTCCAATTTCCATCCCACCCCCCTCGCATGATTTTGCCACTGCAGCGTTTCAGACCCATCTTTCTAATGCAGAATTTAGATTAGTTACATCGTGGATGGAAAACTAGAAGACAACAGGTCAAACTGTCTGTCAGTTGATGGTTATTTGCTCGGAAGGGTGCACATGTACAGTGCACAAGGGTAAAGATCATTCCAGAGACCTAGGGGTGTAATGGGAGACACACAAGCCAGTGTGCCTTATGTTAACTGGGTGCTTTAACCACAGTCACAATAGCAGTCTTTCTGTATGAAATCTGCAATATGTTTTTAGAATTCACATCTGCCAACTCTTTATGTTCCAGTTATTTTCCTTCCATAACATAGACGGGTAAATTTGTAAGCATTCTTCACCCAGCTACACAGTCTAGCTGTGCTTAGGTTATTATATCATATGCCTTGGGACTATTACTTAGGGCCAAAAGATTAACAGAATATATATCCATTCTCTGAATGTGAATCATTCAATTTTCACTGTAGCTTAAACAAATAGTAACTAAACTGCTCTGACATTTTAACTGCTCTGTATTAGAGCTGGTTTCTTTTAATATAGCTCATTAATTATCCCTCTTCCTCCACCACAATTTTTATACCAATCTATCCAGATGGCACTAATCCCTCAAGCACATTTCTTGCCTCATCAGTTCAAGCGGGCAGCTTAAGGAGTGCAGGGTAGGGAATAGATCTATTTGAAGATAGGATCAAGGTCAATCGGGCACTACTGAACTACAAGTAACATCCATTCATTCTGTGTCGGTTAACAATGGCACTGACTGATTCTCAACACTGATTCTCAACACAGTACTGAGTGGCAGGGGAAGCTGGGGGCAGTGGGTAGGCAGGTGGTCAAATGGGTAGAGATGGCGGGAGTTAGGTGGATGCTTCTTCCAACAATGGGTTGGGTGTGGAGTAAAAATGGGTCCTCGTCTAATAACTGCATGGAGTCTTGCTGGAACTGCCATCACTAAACCAAACTGTCACCTGATACTTCATTTAACAACCACATTGCTCAGCGATGGAGTTTGGTCCCAATTAGGGTTATAAAGTGAGGACTTACAAGCATTTATGTCAGTGTGATAAAGTGAAAGCAACCAATAGGCATGCAACCTCTTTACAGATTGACTCTCGCAGCTGTTGCCTATTAAAAACATTGGGGTGGTAGAATCAGCATGGGATTAAATTAAAATCAATAAAAATGGAACAATAAGCATAGGTTCTTAGAGCAATGTACTTAATCCACATTTCTCACTCAGTCTGAAGTGCCAGCAATGTGCCAAAGAAGTTCTTAAATAGAGTGTATGCCATCCGAGGAGGGAGGGCAGGAGGGAGGGAGGGAGAAAGAAATACACACAAATGTGTATACATACACACCCAAAGAATTACTCAGTTGACTACACTGTAAGACAAAACGCTGAACTAAAGTGAACCTTGGCTATTCTTATGTTCTTACACTAAATAAGCACAAACTTCATCATTCAAGGTCAATCTTTATATGACCAAAGCACTACTGACAATCAAATGAAGTTATTGGCAAGCATGATAGAACCAAAATAATCTTATTCCTGAAAATGAGGTGTCATGTCCCCAAATCTGATAAATGGATCAATTTTTAAAATGTAACTTATGCTGAAGAGAAAAAGAATGCAAAGGTGTGAACTTTTCCAACAGAAAATAATGTTAGCAAACCTAGTATAAAGGCAGAAAGTCTTCAACTGAAACAGATGATCAGGGAGGCAGATTATTTCCTGATTCAGTGGTAGATTTTGCTTACAGAGAATTTAAAGGAAGAGAAAAAGATGGAAAGGAGTCTTGTGTTGAGACTGAGAGAAAGCCTGCTTTGTCTCTTAGAGGTGGCGACAGTAATTATCCAAAACTATTTTCTGCATGTCCATAGCCTGGAGGGAGGTAGACTCCCTTGGTACATTTCTAATTGTCTAACTAGAATTGTCTCTGCTCTCAGGGCTGTGGTTTCAGTACACATTAATGAACAAATATATGAAGTCCCCTTATGTCGAGTCACATCTCTACTTCATCAAATCCAGTAGTATTTATTCGAGTTACTAGCAACTCTTTAAGCAGACATATTTCTCATCCCAGCTATCTGAGGTTATTACAAAGTAGGAATACCAAGAACTGAGTATCCAGTAGCAGGCCACCACTGTTTTACAAGGGCAATGTAAATCATGTCATTAAAAGTGAAACGTGAAATAAATGTCCTTCCATTTTTCCACAAAGCATATCGTATACCAAAACTAGAGAGGACCAACTTATCAAGAATGCTGAGCATGCTAGACAGATAAACTTTTTTTTTTTAAGAAAAGGCACATCCAAAAAAACATTTGGGGAGAAAGCCACAGTAATCTGTAGAACTGTTGGCAAAAAAGAAGCTAACTTGTAGACATTTTTATCCTACCTCTATTAAATCAATGTTTCAGTCACTATTTTGCATGAAATGGTTGCTGATTCCAGATGTAGTCAATAAACCTCAACTAAAATATCTTGGAGATATACAGTATAGCAATTATAAATTGCTTCATTTAAGAAGACTCTAGAAAGCAGAGAGAATTGCCTATATTTATATCATCTGGAGACACTGCACTTGGTTTTGCTGCTGAAGTAGGAAATCCAAAATAAATGGGATAATGGCAGGGATCAAAAAGAAAGAACAAAGGACAAAAAAAAAACCCAATCTAGCAAACAATTGAAATTAAAGGAAGGAGAGTTGGAAGCATGTTAATTTAGGAAGGCTTAAAGACAGCAACACTCATCCATATCTACTAAAAAGTGAGTGACAAGGAACTGGAAGATTAGAAAGAGCACTCTGCCAACTCTCTCCAGTTGGATGCAGTTGTGCTAAAAATACTGTTTAATCAGCTACAATATTTTTTTTTAAAAAAAACCTTCCAGAGGCAGCTTTCAATTGATAGCTCATCCATATCTGTTTTACTCCAATACAGTATATCACTCTGATTTTACTGAATTAAAAATCCAAATGCACACGTTTTCAGTTTAATCCACCTAACATAAGAGGAAAGATTTTGTGTACAGTCATAGAGGGCCAGCATCTAGGATAGGAAGAAACATTCTTTGTACCTGGAGGTCATTATTATTTGGAACAAAACTTTTTTTAGTTTTGTTCCAAATAACAATACTAATACAATACTGTATTAGTATTGTTGAACATAGCACAGAGTAATTAATCCTACCATGCTTGTCAGTACCAACTCCTAGTTCCTTTTTTCTGCATGCATAGCTTTGCATTAGAGAAATCTTGAATGCTCATCTTTTTTGACCAAATATTCATTTGTTGTTGTTAGTTGTGAAGTTGTGTCCGACCCATTGCAACCCCATGGACAACGTTTCTCCCGGCCTTCCTGTTCTCTACCATCCTCTGGAGTCCATTTAAGCTCACACCTACTGCTTTGGTGACTCCATCCAGCCACCTCATTCTCTGTCATCCCCTTCTTCTTTTGCCCTCAATCTTTCCCAACATTAGGCTCTTCTCCAATGAGTCCTTCCTTCTCAATTAAGTGGCCAAGGTATTTGAGTTTCATTATCCATTTTTTCATACTGTAGAATTAAATCCTTTAAAACCTTTAGTTAGAAAACAGTCAATCATACACAAAAAGCATCCATGCAATCCTAAGCAACTGCCAAAGAAAAAATGTAAAATTAACTATACTGCAGAAATCCGACTTGCATTTCAGCTTCTTCCACCAAGTTGTTACTTCCTTCAGGCTGAGAATATGCGCTTTAACCACCTTCTACTGCACTGGTTCTTAAACTGAGGGTAATTCAGGCATATTCTGGGGGTAATGGAGCAATTTGTAATTGCTTGTCAGTGAGTTGGGGATCCACTTTGGGACTGCCACTGTCAAGACACTTATGAAAAAGCAACTGTCTGAATGATTTTTGGAGGGCAGGGGTAGTAATTACATTATTTGAGGCTGGGTCAGTTTAAGCATCACTGTTCTAGTGAGCAATGCAGCAGGTTACCTCCTGCAATTACTAGGCCCATCACAGATAGAGCATACACATATGGGGGAATTGTTTAACCAGAGCATAAAAATAATAAGGAAGCAGATCTATGAACATGGATACGCACACATGCACACACGCCAGTTTAAATACATAGCGGGCAAGATATATGAGGTAGTTATTTTTTTTTCTTCTATCATTATCCAGAAGGAGAGGACATATTTTCATGAGTTTTTTGAGCATCTGTGGTTTGCATGGCACCAGCAGTTTTTCTGGGTTTTTCTTTAAGTAGCTTTATTGTCTCCAGTCATCAATTATGTTTTTAGAGCCTAAAAATTCTTGGGCCACCAGTGAGAATCACCCTCTTAAACATCTCTTTCTTCATGTCTTTGTCTTTAAGAGCATGAGAGTTCACATTTTTTTGAAATTAAGACAAAGGTTATGTTTATATTTATTTAGTTTTTAGAAATACTTATATACTGCCCCAATTAACAAGCTACTATAGTAAGAACACAAACCACGAACAGAATTATCTCAAACACAATTAAAAAACAGCTTCTTTTTTACATTGCCTTCCCATCCCCCTCAATTTTAAAGACCTTAATTTAGTTCCAAAGCATTTAATCCAAAATTAAATATTTACTTACATGATTTACTTAAATGAATCATGCCATAACAACAGCTCCATAACAACAATAGCACAAATTTGGTAGTCAAAGTTTAGCCAGTTTCAGAATAGTAAAGACTACGAATGAGTAGATCTCCTTCCCATTTTGGGACACTGGTAATTATATTTCCTTTTCACATTTTTTTTCTTTTGGGGTTGCTTGTATACATAGCATAACACTCAGTCTTGAGATCCATTCATTATTGTTCATTTTCTGAATTTTGGGTCGCTGCATTGCTACTTGGGTAGTAATGTATACTTAGATGGGCCACTTTTCAGCCACTGATCTATTCTTGGAAAACAGTTAATTGGTTACATCCAAAAGGTCAAAATACCTTTCTGGAAGCCACATAGACATGGAAGAGTGGGCTTGAAAATGCAAACACAACCAGATGAAATCACTTCCAAGAATTCCTAGGAACACAACTTATCATCTTCCGCTATATTGATTTATTTTGCCATGCTATTTATATTTTATTTCTGCAACAGAGAAAAGCCATTTCTGAAGCCTAAATGCAACACAAATCACGTATTATCTGTTACAGAAATCATTAAAAAAATTAAACTGCAAAGCTGCTCTGCTGTAACATCTTGTTTTAAAAATCTCTGTGAAGTTCAAAAATTTGAATATATTGCCAGTTACGATAGATCAAGGGAAAAAAAGGAATGTTGGAAATTTTTTTGTTTTTTAAATTTCTTAATGAATTGTTATGCTTTTATTGCTTTGTGCATTTTTAGCTGACAAACTAAATATTAAAATTTTATGAGATGGTTTATAATTGATAGTACCAGTGGTGGGATTCAGCCAGTTCGCACCTATTCGGGAGAACCGGTTGGTAACTTTCTAAGTAGTTCAGAGAACCAATTGTTGGAAGAAATTTCCTTTTGTTTTTTTCCACTTTACAGGGCTAACCCTGTAAGGAAGGCAGGAAGGAAACATTCTAGTGTTGTTTCTAGCCATATCTTTATTGTCCTGCTTACAGAAACTGCTTCTCCGGTTAACCCTTATGACATTGTAACAATTAAGCAAAGCACTCATCGACCTGAGTGACCTTGAGTTAGCCACACCCACCCAATCACATGATCACCGAGCCCCATCTACCCAGATAGTCATTAGGACAGAGAACCGGTTGTTAAATTATTTGAATCCCACCACTGGATAGTATCAATGATAGACTGATGGGAAGACAATGAGGAAAATTAAAATAAAGTTGTATTTATTGTTTCCCCAAAGTTGCAGCAGGTGATTCAATTTGATTGTACTTTCTTATGGAAATAAGCTCACCAGAAATTTTGCATTCTCTGCCCCATGAATCATCTAAACCAGTGTTTCTCAACCTTGTGAACTGAATCTTGTGAACTCCCAGAATTCCCCACCATGATTGGCTGAGGAATTCTGGTAGTTGAGATCCACTCACCTTAAAGTTGCCAAGTTTGAGAAACACTAATCTAAACTCTTTATACATGACTTATAAGAGAAAGACGAGTTTACCCAGCTTGCAGTTTTTTTGGAACACCTATTCATTTGCCTACTAAAAAAAAAAGTATAATAAGCATGTACATGGTATTCAAGCAAGAGAAGAAAAACAGCAAGAAAAAAATGGAAAAGATAGATATAGGGAACTTTATAACCATCTAATGTTCAACTAGGGGTAATTTGAATGTGACTTTCAATTCAAGTAAAGATGGAACTATCAACCAGAGTAAGTTGTTGTGAAAATACACAATACAAACAACTGCAATATTAAGGGATCCTTTATATTATCTAGACAGCGTGATGGCTCAGGGATTTAGACACTCGGCATGTCAGCTGGAAAAATCGACAGCCCGGGTTTGAGACTTGAGCATCGGTCAACCAGGTGAGCTCCCATCTTCGCCTGGTTTCTGCCCATCTAGCAGTTCGAAAGCATGCGAATGTAAATATATTAATAGATAGCACTGTGATGGGGAGGAAAACACAATTCTGTAATGTCATGCTGGCCACATGACCATGGAAACATCCTTGGACAGCGCTGGATCAATGGCCCTTGAAACAGAGATCCCCCTGTTTTCTAGTGGAATAAAATCTGCAGGGACTTCTTTCCTTTTCCTTACATTGTCTAGCCCCTTGTTCAAGGAATGCAGTGACAGTTTTGTTTCTAAAGACAGTCTACAAATATTTTAAAAATGATAAATATAGCACTTCAATTCTCTTTTGACTAAATTATTGATCCCACTGCAAAGGTGATTTCATATCAATATGCACATGAATGTAGCATACTGTATACACTGGGTGCACACATAAGATGCTTTTTCTAATAATCTATTAAAATCTATCATTTTACCCTTTGGATCCCAGTTTCCCTCTGGAAAATAAAGAACAAGCTTCAATAACGCTCTTCAAGCACTAATTTCAACTTCAATAGGAAGAAACAAAGGAGGTAGTGGTTCTCATTTATACTATAATGCTACTCATGCAGCATCAATTAGATGAGCTGATACATGTTACAACTATGTATTTTTCAATGAGTAGGGCACTTTATCATTGGCCACTGATAGTTACACTTGGTAAATTTTTATGTGTTTTAATTCTTGTCAGTTGCTCAGAGTCACTTATGTGAGATGGATGTCTATATAAATAAATTAAATCACCATCATTATAGCTATTGTCTATCCACTGCCTCTTTCCAACCTAAATAAATATAAATCAGAATTCTAGAGAAGAAAGGCCTTTCCCATATCTTAATTAACTGATTTTCTAAGCAGGTACCTGTCATTGCTTTCTTCTCTCCTTTTTCCAGCTTGGTTTGCGACAATTCAATATTTCCATCATGTTCCATTGGCTGTTCTGCTCTTTTCATTGCTGTGCCTTTAAAGCTCATCTGAAGTTGGCTGGTATATTTCTCATGCTAAAAGGGAAAGGCAAGAAACTTGGTGTTCATACTCCAAAATGAGCAGGACCTCCCAAAGAAAGTTTATTTTGTAAGGTAGATGATGAAAAGGAATTTATACCAGGAAAACAACTGAGAAATATTGTATCACCTATTTTTTCCCAGAATTTTGGTTCCAATCCTAATCTCTGTATCACACAATTTGTTTTTTAGAAAAGTAACAAGTTTTGAATTAGGAGGCTTCAGCAATTATCTTTTTGGCCACTGAACAGTAATTCCTGAAATGATACAAAAGCAGAAGGAACAAGAAACACAAGTGGCTCCTGTTCTTCCAGACATGTCTAATTTTAAGCAGAATACTTCCATCCTCTCCCCACCACTTCTGATTCAGGAAGATAAAGTGCTCATATTGTTTTAGGATTACCTTCTTCACTGCCTTCAGCAGAAAAATCAGTATTGGTTAAAAATAACAATTCCTTTAAGTATTACTCAATAAAATTTTAGATGTTTTATTTATTTGTTCTACATTTAATATTTACAAATAACTCAAGGCGGCAAACCTATCTAGCCCACCTTCCTCCTCTTATTTTCCCCATAACACCAACAATCCCATGAAGTGGTTTGGGCTGAGGGAGAGTGACTGGTCCAAAGTCATCCAGCTGGCTTTCATGGCTAAAGTTGGGCTTGGACTTCAACTCATGGTCTGCTCCTTTCTAGCCTGAGTACCTTAAGCACTAGGCCAAACTGGTCCTAATAAGAACAAGTTAGAACTATGCAAGGATGAAACTAAATTATAAAGTATGCCAAATATAGAACAGGAGGCCACACCTTTAGGCAACTACTTTCTTGCATGTAACATTAAATCTTAGTGTAGAGTTACACGCAAATCCACCCCAGGCAAATCCTGACATACAGGAAAAGCTTGACACTGTTGCTGTGAACATACAAAAAACAAGAGGCAAGGTACACAAATGAGTTCATTTCAGTATCTTGGCAGCTGAATTTATTTAATTTATTATATTTTCAGAGACAAAACCAACAGATAAACTTTAGAAGTTTCTGGTTGTTTGAGTGAAAATATAGGCAAATTTAGAGAAAGGTAAAGAGCACTGTGTTGATATAATCCACTGCTGAAGTTACTATATCCATGGCTGCTCTTTGCCAAAATACTGCCCCATTAGCTTCTCACTGAAATTTGGTTAAGGTTGTCAATCAGCAATGCTATAAAGCCCATAATTCATGCTTTCTGACCAGCAATGGCATGAGTGCAATGAAAGATGGCATCTTTCCTGCAAAGCATATTTTCTCAGAGTTGGGTAATCAAAACACAGATTATAGCCCTACTTTGTGCAAGCCAAGATTTTTCAATGTTTTTAGTTGATTTGTTTTAATAAAGCAAGTCTCTAGAACTCATGGCTACTAGTAAAAACCTGAAAATGTGAAGGAATCCTGTCCTAAGGGCTAGGTGGAAGCATAAATTATAACTCTGATCTTGGCAAAGCACGGAATTGCCTTGGGAGGGATTAGCTGTGATCTAAAATTATTTCAGCATATTGTGTTGGTAATTTCTCATGGGAAAGCTTTGTGCAAATATATGGTAGAGATAGTACAAATCTGCATCTCAGGTTTAACAGATCGTTCACATCAAAGAAGCTTAAGCCAGAAAATATCTACATTGACTGTGCTTGGTTCCATGCTGAGTTTTCTGAGGACCAGCACATGAAAAGTTCATTCAAATTATACATATGAACTCGGATTTCAGTGATTTTCAAATTATTCATTTTTGCAATTTACCTGAATATACTGTATTTTGGGAAAGATTGCTTGAACTATGAACTGCAAGATTTGGAAAAGTACAGTTTTTAGCAGCTAATGCATCTAATAAATTATATACCTTAAGAAAGTCAGAATTGGGCATTCGAACAAACAAAAATAATAAGTACAAAGCAATTTGCCAAATTAACTACTTGGCTACCCAGACCTGTATTGCAGGTTTTCTAAAACTGACAGCCACTTTCTATTACGTTCTATAGATTGATCCTTATTTAAAAGAAAGTTCTTTAGAACAGAACTTAACATTTTTATGCATAAAATCTATACTGAACTTTCACTATATGAATGACTTAGGACTACAGTCCTTCTGAAAATTCTGGTCCTTCCTTCCTCTCTTGCTTTCCCTCTTTTTTTAAAAAAAAATAACCTATGTAAAAGATGGCAAAAATAAAATAGTGTTGTAATACTGCTGCAGGTCAGTTAAATTCCCAGTAGAATTTACCACTAAACCATAGCTTATGTATTTTATTTTTCTTCACTTTGCCACGTAAAAAAGAACATAAATACTTACTTTTAGCACTTCTTCTGGAACCTTGTGCTTGATGTGTTCTAGGACATACAAGTTTGCATGTAGAAAAAGTATTAAGGAAAAATGCAGCTTCAGGAGAATTTAGACAGTAACTTTCAAGCAATCTATCATTCACACAAATAAACAAATCCCATCTCTTTTGGGATTATTTTAAATGGAGGTAGGCAACAATTCACCACCTGAAAGCTTCCAAACATTTCAGGGCTACAATGTTGGGGGAAGGCTAGGGTATAAAGATAAACTCAAAAGAGGTGGAAAAACCATGACTGATAAAGCAATTATTAAAGGGTTAACATATGGTGCATGCAGTATTACTGATTCATTGATCAGCATTTGAGAAGGCAAAACAGATACATCTTGCTTTTTTTCCCTATCAAACGATTTATAACTGGGCATCATAAAAGAGAATTTAGCTATCTGGCATTATTGCAAATCTTGTAAGAAGCCTCTACTTAAAGGTCATTTTTGTTGTGTAGTAAAGTATTTCTTATAAGCACTTTCCTTTGTTTAGAATGAAAATATTAATTCTAATAATAATAGAGGAACAACCATGAGTTTTCTAAAAATTGACTGAATCTAAAATCTTCCCTGAAGGGAAGCCCAAGTTATCGGGTGCTCCAACAGGAAAGAATGAGTGAATCAACACCAAATGATATTTGATGATACAGATACAATATTACTTCTTTCCTTGTTTCCCCTACTTCTTCTTACAACTATTCATCACAATACATTACATACTAACTGACCGAAGGAACTCAGGAATCCCTCAATGACTGCATCAGTTTGGACACATACCGTATTTTTTGGAGTATAAGACACACCTTCCCCCCCTAAAAGAACGTGGAAATGTTGGCGCATCTTATACATAGAATACAGCCATTTTGGGCCTCCTGAAGCCCCGCCCCTGCCTCCCATTTTTGCAAAAAACGGGCCGTTTTTCACAAAAACAGAGGCTTTTTTGCCTTCCCTCAGCCCCCAGCAGCACTCTGCAGGCTTCTGCAGGGCTGAGGGAAGGCAACAAACTTTTTTTTTCTTACTTACCTCTTCAAAATCGTGGTGCATCTTATACAGTGGTACATCTTATAGTTCGAAAAATACAATATTCGCAATATGGTTCATTAATGGACTCTTATTGAGAGTTGAAGGGGTCTTTCTTAATAATAGCGATTAGCAAAAAGGAACAACTTACACATCCCAGAAAGGTTGCAAACATACTACTGCATGTCCCACTGACTACCAGAAATGAATAGTAAAAAAGGACAGCAGGATGTAACACATCTATCTAATTACAACAATGACTGATAAGTTGGCACATCAACAGGAAAACTCCAGCTGCAATATGCGGTCCCTGACCAATACCATCATCATCACATGGCAATTCCCAAACTTTTATTAATTGGACCATAAATATTTTTGTCCAAATTAAAACTGAAACACCCCCACCTTCACTATTCCACTCAAAGAATACTCATTTCTCTAGCAACAGTTTCTTGGGAAAAGATATGCTGATTAAAATTAAATTAAAACTGCTGTGAGTCAATCAGATTATTGAGATGGGCAATGTATAAATTTGATTAATAAATGCAATGGCTTTTAGAAATGTGATCTTTGCCTTGGCTTAGGTCACAGATAGAATTATTCCTGCTAAACAATGGAGATGTTTCTGAGATTTGTTATGCCTATCACGGGCATTTGTCATTCCTTTCACAGGTTACATCAGGTGCAGCTTTATTCTTTCCTTCATAGCTCACGATTTTCCAGTAGAAAAGAAATATTAATGCACTGAGGTGCCTGCCTGCTCTAACAAGCAGGGAGAGTGTTGGATGCTGCCCAAAATAGTGTCTTAATTCTTCAAGAATGTCATGTTGTCTGTGGTGCACAGCTGGGGAGCCAATACTGCTGCTAAGTTCTGTGTCTGCACTGCACAGAGCTCATCTCCTTATTCAATCTCTGCTCAATGACAGCTCCTGGCAAGAGCTCTGTCTTCTGCTCTGCAGTGTTCAAGAACCAAAGTATTTCTTTCTAGGATGGTGGATCTTTCCTATAAAAATCAGTCTTTGGTTCTATCTCCACAGAGGCACTGCAGCATCTGAAGGAAAGGAGGCTGGTGCTTGCAGTGACACTACCAAAGGCAAATTCCAGTTTGTCCAAAGAAAGAATGGACAAATATTCTAATATACAATGCAACAGCTCTTAGTTAAAAAGAAAAAGAAAATCTAAGCAGCAAAAAGCTCAGAATTCTAGAATTCTTAGGGATTTTCTGGAAGATCTCACTGAAACATCATATACTGTGTGCCTATGGAGATTCTCAGTCATCCAGATCATGGTTATCCCCAAAGTCCTTTTTTTCAAGAGGCAACTGGACTTTCTGATTTTTCTTTGAAGACATTTCGCTTCTCATCCAAGAAGCTGCTTCTGCTCTGACTTCCCCACCATCCAGGCAGAGCTGAAGAAGTTTCTTGGATAAGAAGCGAAACATCTTCAAAGAAAAACCAGAAAGTCCAGTTTCCTCTTGAAAAAAGCACCTTTGGGACATAGACTGTGATGTTTCTATGTGCCATATATGTGTGTATATGCATAAAGGTTCTCTTTTGAGATCTAAATGCAACAAAACTTCATTTTAATGTAGGCTGATTAAGGTAAGTTTCCCTCGCACATATTTGCTAGTCATTCCTGACTCTAGGGGGTGATGCTCATCTCCGTTTCAAAGCCAAAGAGCCACACTGTCCGAAGACATCTCCGTGGTCATGTGGTTGACACTCCATTATGTGGCACTAGGGATTCAAACCACCGAACTCCTGACCTTTCTGCTCAACAAGCTCAGCGTCTTAGCCACTGAGCAACCGCATCCCTATGTAGGCTGCATTTATAGCAATAGCAATAGCAGTAGACTTATATACCGCTTCATAGGCCTTTCAGGCCTCTCTAAGCGGTTTACAGAGAGTCAGCATATTGCCCCCAACAATCTGGGTCCTCATTTTACCCACCTCGGAAGGATGGAAGGCTGAGTCAACCCTGAGCCGGTGAGATTTGAACCGCTGACCTGCTGATCTAGCAGTAGCCTGCAGTGCTGCATTTAACCACTGCGCCACCTTGGCTCTTTAAAGTGACAAATATTCTGTTCTGTTCTATTCTATTTTCTATTCTTCTATTCTATTCTTCTATTCTATTCTATTCTGATCTTTTATAGAAAAGTTGTAGGAATGCATTTGGAGACCTGGAAATCTCATTCAAGCAACTGACAAACCAGGTTCAGTTAATTGACTTAACTGAAACTGTTATTCAAATAAATCTGCTCCTTATGAAGTCTTGAAGCTTGACTATTCAACTTACCTCTATCAATGGAACTTGAAGTTATGTTCAAGCAAAGGAATGCCACTACTGCATTTCCAATTCTATCTGACATGATCATCCCCTTCCAGCAAACTTTGATCAGAGTGCACGTGGAGTGGTGGGAAAGGAGGGGATCGCTGCTTAGTCAGCAGCAGCACACAAATCAAACTGCTAATCAAGGGACAATAGATGCTACAACTTGCTCATCCTCCAACAAAAATAGCAAACTGCTACAAGCAATACCTCATTTGGATCCATTTTCAATCTTGAAAACCTAGTATGAATTGCACACCAACCAAGCTTTTTATTCCTAACCAGAAACACTCAGCATGTGGGACATCCCCACAGAGGGAAAAAAAGTAATTGTAATGAAAAACGACAACAGTAAGATTTGCACAAGCTCAGGTCACAGTTCCAGAACACAGTTGGCCTGCATTTTCTCAAAAGGGTGGGGAACAGGAGGAAATTAAGGATGCCAGAAAAAGCAAGACAAGATTGTTAATGTTACTTTAAAGAAAACTAACAAAACAAGGACAAGCCATATTCTGGCAGGATAGGAGAAATCTGCTTGTTGGCTACAGTGGACAGATCTGTGCATGGGAACTTTGCTGATTCAGGGAATGTAAAAATGGAGCAATCCATAAAGATCCAAGGGAGAAGGAAAGAGGGGGTGGTTTTCTCTTTTTTTTCTCTTTACGCTGACAGTTCAGTAGAAAAGGGAGGAATGAATTCAGCTGAATTGTGGAAGCATATCACTTCATTTTTAGTGATTCCATTTCAGTAAAACTCTCCAGTTTTCTCTCCTCTCTTCTTTCCCTAGCACACACAGATGCACACACATAATTTCAGACAGTCCTGTGCCCGCTGCCAAGAACTACCAAAATGTCAACCGTGCCTTAATCTAGTGTTTGTGGGGGAAGGGTTGCTTGCCAAGAAAAGCATATATATAACAACAGTGTCTGGGCTTGCACCCCAAAACACAACACAATGCTAAACTCAACAAAGCAAGAGGAGAAAAACTCAGAATTGAAAAATGGTGTAGATCGCAGGCATAATTTTGGAAGTTGTTGATTAGTGGGGAAGAGGAATTTAAGCCCTGACCTGAGTTTTGCATCCAGATTGCTCATTCAGAGAAGACTGATGGGAAAGCTGTGGTGAGAATGAAACTGCAAGTGTCAAGCTACTTAATATGGGATCAAGCTGTTCTGTGAGCGAGTAAACCATATTCTACACCTCCTAAATCTCTTCCCTTACTAACATAAAACGAGATGGATTAGTCTCCTACAGTCTGAAATCTTAAACCTGGAAGCAAAGAAATATAAAGAAGGATAGAGGACGAATTTTATTTCAGAAAGTGGCATGGGAAAGAGAAAGTAATAAATTTGCATAACATAACCAAGAGCAATCACATAAAAATGTTTTCAAATACCCTTCAAATTCCAGCAGTGGAGTAAATTGGTCCACTTATTGCTGTCCAGACCAACTTGCATCTTAAGAGTAGCAGCAATTAGCAATAATTGCACTTATAAACTGTGATCTCCCAGTAACTCTCAGGTGGAAAAATGTATGTATTATATTTTGAAGACACATTTTAGAAATAAATCAAAAAGTAGAAGGGTAAAGTTTCCAACCTCATAAAGCTTGCACTTACAAATACACTGCATTCTTTGTCCACATCAGACTATTTGTTCATCAGAACCATCATTGACTATACCAGGAATGGCAAATCTTTTAGACCCTGAGTGCCCAAACTGCGTGCACACATGCCCGAACTGAAAGGTGTGCATGCACACGCAAAAGTGTGCACACGCGGACATGCGTGAATGCACAGCAGAGACTCAAAGACCAGCTGGCCGCCAGGAGGTGGGGCATCCCAACACTGGCAGGACAACAAGAGGTAAGATCTTTTTCTTTTGTGAGCTTCTGTTTTGTCGTTTTCAGGGAAAGAGAAGCTCATGAAAGAAACGTCATGGAGACAAGCACATGTGAGCAGAGAAGGCTCTGCATGCCACCTCTGGCACATGTGCCATAGGTTTGCCATCATGGGACTATATTGATTTAATACCAAGATACAGTTTGCAAATCTTTCCAAAAAGAGTTAAGTGTGGACATATCTTGATAACTAATGGCAAGTAAGATGTTGTAGATTGCAATTCTTATCTAGAAGATATAAATACACATGCAAAAACCAGGAATGTTTTTACTGCCAAGAGAAGAACCATCAAAATCTTTCAACAGGGAAATTCTTACATTGAAGCTAATAAGAAGCAGCTATTTCATCAAGCTCAAACTGAACCCATTTTCAGTTTTGCCAAGCCCCACCCCCAAGCCCCCAAAGATAAATTCCACAAACTTCTTCATTGAAGGCTCAGTGAACCAAATATTATTAATCACCTGCTTTTTTTGTTAAGAGTTCCATTTACATAACGCAGGTGGATCTTGTTAGAAACCACTTGTTCAGCAATCACTCAAATAAGTAGTACTTACAACTGGTCCTTGAAATTTGAGCCACTGAAGCATCCCTGCAGCCACGTAATCATAATTTGCAAACTTCTCTGCTGGCTTCCCACAAGCAAAGTCAATAGGGAAGTTATCAAGAAGTCTGAAGCTACGGTCAGGGGAGGTCCTTGCTTAATAACCCTTGCAATCCTTGTTTAACTACGGCAACCTGGTACATGACATCACACTTTACAATTGCATCACTTAGTGACATAAATACTGGTCCAACCAACATAGTTGTGAGGACTACCTATACCAGTGATGGCTAACATTTTTGTCGTCATGTGCCGAAAGCATGCCTGCGCCCCCCACGTTTTGGGTTTAGTAAGCCTCCCTGCAGCCTCCTGGGACCAAAAATGGGCTACGGGGGGGATGCTGCACCCATGCTCCCCCACGTGACTACTGCATGCAGGGGACCACGCACATGTGTGGCAGAGACCCGAAAATCAGCTGGCCAGGGGAAGGTGTGAACGCATGTACAGCGGATCTGAACTGGGGCGATGGCTTGTGTGCCTACAGAGAGGGCACTGCATGCCATCTGTGCCACGTGTGCCATAGGTTCACCACCACAGATCTATACGCTAACAGCAAACAAACCATAGGTAACTTTGCATGAAATATGAATGCTGTCATTGAATAAGACTATCTGGGAAATCAAATCTGGGAAATAGGGAAATTCAGGGTCCCATCCTCCCAACAAAAATGTTTAGGCTGAGAAATAACCCAAGATCAAAACTACAGTTCATGGCTGAATGGGACATAAGCCTGTATCTCCCCGGTTCTAATTTGATACCAGACTAACTCTCAGAATGACAGCAACAAAAGAGCATATATTTTCTTGAGCTCGTCCTGGTAATCTTCCAAGTGGGATGTAATTCATATAATCTGATTTAGTTAATTTCAATTTTATAAAAAAAACCAAGACAGTGTTTTTCTTAAAATAATAAATCCTGAACCTTGACGATATGTGCACTTGTGCTTCTATGACACATCCAAAAGGATATCATAGCCGAAACGAATCACATCATTCAGTTTTAGCGTGATGTACTTCTGGTCAGGGATTCGTATGTCGTTCACAAAGGTCTATGGAAAAGAAACACAAAAAAATATATCATTCAAGTGATATGAGAGGAGGAGGAGGAGGAGGAAGAGAAGGAGGAGGAGGAAATCAGTGTGAAGAAGTTTAGAGAGGAAACTGTCTTTAGCTTTACAAAATCTCTGTCTATCCTCTGCCGATCAACTGGTACCTCTTTCCTTCCCACATACAATTCCCCATCATTTGGTGCTTGGTCGATCGGCCCCTTTCTCCTGTCACTAAAAACAGCTTCAGCAAAAGATACTGATCGACTGCATTTCAAAAAGAACCAAAAAGAACCCAGGCAATCGCTTTTTGACAGTCATACAAACCATTTGACAGAGCAACTGAGGCAATACCACAAGGTTATTTTTCCAAACCATAAAAGCTCCCTTATTGCATTTTCTGGGCTAAGCCACAAGCCTTCTAAAACTTCAAAGGAACCAACTTCACAAACTTAACCTATACTTTTAAAAGCATTTAAAAACATACAATGTTAGTCATCTTTATAACAGATACGAATTTATAACAGGCTGGTTAGGATTATCCACATAATGAAGACAGGAAAGAGGGCCCCAGAAAGGAACAGCCACTTGTATTAATCCATGGCTGAAAAGGAATTTGGACCAAGCATCTCTTCCTTGATACTGCCTGTCATGGTACATCTCAAAGCCAGAGAGACTTAAGCATGATAAATATAGAGAACTGTCTTCATGCAGAATTGCATTGTACTAAAGATTTCTCTGACAAGTCAGATAATATAACATTCCAAGCTACATGTGTTTTTCGTGATTGACTCCCTCTCTGTCCACAATGGCTGAAAACGGATGACATGGTTTCTTTCCACTTTCAGAGAGGAAACATATTAAAAACAAATAGTGAACACTACTTTAAAAAGATTTAATTTTGTTCAGAAAATAAAAAGCTGCCCAGAGTGGCTTTGGTTTGTGAGATGGGTGGCATAAAAAGTTATAAATACCCTGTTTCCCTGAAAATAAGATCTTCCCGGATAATAAGCCCAATCGGGCTTTTGAGCGCATGCGTTGAAATAAGCCCTCTCCCAAAATAAGCCCTTCCCAAAAATACAGCAGCAGTTATGAGGTGACCATGCTTGCTGCCTCCTGCACCTCAAAAATAATAAGATCTCTCTGAAAATAAGGCCAAGTGCTTATTTTGGAGGACAAAAAAAATAAGACCCTGTCTTATTTTCGGGAAAACATAGTAAGCCCTTCCTAACAGGATTTTTTTTAAAAAACAAAACCTGAAGAAGCCTTACCTTAAGTGCAACACAGCTATGATCACTCTGTATTACTCCTATCTTAACTTTAAACTTTATTAGCATCAAAGACAAGCACATAGTCCTGAGCTCTAAAATTGCCCATCTCAGTTTTAACAGTTGAAACAGTTCAACAGCTTAAAGTAATTATTCCATCTCTTCACAACACTTTACTAAGAAATATATTTTATTTTTGGCACCAGGGTGCTGCACCCAAACATTTATCAATGATGTAAGATTCACTGAGAGGCATCCTCAGTGTTGTAAAATGTGTCAGGCAATCTGAGAGGACTGCAAGAGAGGGGAGAGCGTTTGGAAAAAAAACATCCAGCTGAAGAATTTGCAATCAGTTACATATTTTATGTATACTGACCAGCAGTGAACATCAATGGCTTTATCCTCCTTGATAGCTAGATAGAACACAAAATGCTCTGCAATTTGATAAGCCAGCTATAACAGATAACTGCTACTCTTCAATAAATGGGATTGCTTTGCAAAATGTTTTCAGATGCCAGATATGAGATCCAAACTTTTAAGTAAAAACTACCCTAGGGTCCAGGAAGGCAAATGTAGAGAACATGATCTTTTTCTGGCTGATATTAGTTTAACGTGATTGGAAACAGAGGCGAGTTGTGGCAAGAAAAGCAGCTTTATTTGAACCAGAATACACAAAACTAGAAAATGTTGAACACGGTCAATGTTTTACAGAGGGGCAGCAACCAGGCCCAGGAAATTATCTGAAGTGAGGCCTTCAGAGGTGGTGCAGACTTAACTTCATTTGAGCCTGTTTTAAAAGTGTGGGTGAGGAAGAGAAATGTCAAGTAAAAGGCTCTCTCCAGAGAACTCTTAACTATTTCACCCTCACTATAGTCAAGAGACATCAACTATCAACAAACACCTAGTGCAGATACAGTATTCCCCCTCAACTAAAAGATGCAGCCCACCAAACAGGCTCATACAATCTATTTCACCTGCCTTCCTCTGTCCACGGGAATTTATTTTTTTTGTCATTCCAAATTGGGAGTTAGCCATGTCCATAATAGCATCTGTACCAGGGGTGAAATCAACTTACCTTCACTATCGGTTTGCAAATGTGAATGCATGCACCACCTCCATGCATGCACAGGACCTTCCGTGCATGCACAGTAATGTCTTCCGGGTGGAGCCTCCCGCCACCACCACTACAGATTTGCCTGAACCGGATAGAACAGGCAGAATTGCACCACTAATCTGTACTATTTTCTATACTATATTTCACTAACCCTGGTTATGTCCAATTTTCAGTTCAAATATTGGGCTAGAACTGAGTCTCGGGGAAATCTTTTTCCTGCTCCTACCTTTAACTTGGGAGATATAAGAGTGTAGGCTCTGCTTCTTTGTAGATTTTTTTTCTGTTCTTCCTTTGCAGAAACAGACCCCAAAAAGAAACTGGAACATTAAGACCAAGATGAAACTGCCTATTTCTCACTAAATGTGGGTGGTTTTCACAGCAAATAGATGCTCATTGCCTATCCCTATGTCCATCTTTTTGTCAGAGCTGTACATTCTATACCAACATTAGCAGCACTCCTGGAACATCTGGCACTTTCTGTGACTCCCAGATGTTGCAGGTGTGCAGTGTATGTCCCCACACTGCAGACATATTGAAGTTTATCCTGTTCCTCATGACTGTTCAATACAATGGCATAGTATCCTCTCAAAACAAAGGAAAGGATAAGGAACACAATATGTTTGGGACACAATTGAGACTTTCAAGATTATACTGAACCATACTGACCATGATGCCTGAAGCTGCTGGCACTTGTAACTCAGGGGCCAAAAATTCTCTCCCTTTTTCTCTCTTTATGATGGGAGACTGAAGTGATGACAGCTATTAAGCTTTTAAGGAGCACTGCCACTGCCAGCAGCCGATTCACCATCTGCTTTCAACCATTCCCCTCTGTAAATATCTAAAGTACCCCTCCCCAACTCAATTTTGTCATAAACTAAAATCTCCCTGGTCAGGAGATTATAGCCAATACTAATATGCAAAATAATCAGATCTAGCTCTAAATATACAGTACAGTAAGATAATGCAATGCTTCAGATTCAAAAGCAAAAACATATTTTTAAGCTCATGTCAGACATGGAGAACTTGTGGCAATTTTTAAAGCTAAATCTATATTTTCCTGGACTGGACTGCTGTTGCAGCTGCAGAGGTTTGCAATCCCAGCAAACAATGCAGATATTTAGGAATTTCTGTCAATTATGTGAGCTTCCATGGTTGAAGCAAGTTTTTCCCTTCAAATCGATATCTCTGGACAATAGGTAGGAGGTGGATATTCTTTTCATGAATTCCTTATGGTCCCGCTTCATCTTGACTTCTACTTTGGATGATGAATTCTTACTCTCTTAATAATCTCCTTGAAATAACAAATGCCTAGACCTACAAACCAAGAGGATTAGAAAAAATTTCTTTGGCACCAACAAGAAAACTATAAAGGTCATGATAAGATTATTTTACTTTCTGGAGTGTAATTGTCAAGCAGGCACAAACACTGCAAAGCAGTGCTATCTACTTCAGGTTATGCCAGATGCACAAGAAAAATGTGGTCTTGTATAGCAGTATTCATCAATCTGACAAGTTTGCAAATATGTTGGCTTTCAACAATCATAATTTGCAATCTAAAAGAACATTAGAACTGGTCAGCACATGTGAAAAATGCTGAATAGGGAAGGCTGATTACAACACCTAAAAGCCATTGAGATAACCAAGAATATCAACAAAGGCGTGCTCTCCAAATGAAAGAGGTAACAAGGATCTTGCTTTCCCAAATTAGATACTGGGGATACACCCAAGGCCTTTGTTCGTGTGCCTAATAAGGTACTTTTCCCACAAAAGATATCATTCATTCCTCAAATTGCTTAGAACTACTTGGGTCAACTAGAGGTACTACAATGGAGGATGAGGAGGATTACCTGGACTGGCCAGAAGCAAGAACTACCCTGCTAATCAGGAAATGGAAACATGACCAGATTATACCTATGGTGAATGATCTGTGAATGATCTGCACAGATCATTAATTGCTTAATAGGCTTGGTTCAAAATGTTAAAGCTCTAATTGGATATCTATCTTAGAAACCCTATTTAACATCAGAAGCTTTTCTAAGAATATCTCATTTGCAGAAGCAGACAGAGGAAATGGTCTTTACTGCACACGTTGCTTCCAAACTATTGTGATTCTGGATTTATAACTGGTCTCAATTCATTCAGCTTCTTCTTCATTGGGGGGGAGGAGTTATTATTTTAATACAAATATACCAGTTATTAAACTTTTCCTCCTACAATTTCTTTATCTTGAAACATAACCTTTTCCCTTTTTATGTTGTTGTTAGTTGCAAAGTCATGTCCGACTCATCGCAACCCTATGGACAACATTCCTCCAGGCCTTGCTGTCCTCTACCATCCCCCGGAGTTCATTTAAGCTCACGCCTACTGCTTCAGTGACTCCATCCAGCCACCTCATTCTCTGTCGTCCCCTTCTTCTTTTGCCCTCAGCATCTTTCCCAGCACTGGCCTCTTCTCCTTTTTATGTACAATGCACCAAACTAAATGACTCATGCAGTCCATCAACTTGTTTCAATGGGAACAAGATTCCCCACAAGTATCCTGAAATTCTCAAATACAGGTCCTAAGATTATTGAACATATCAAGGAGATGCCTGCTGGACAAAGCCAAGGTCATTTAATCCAGGAAGCCATCACACAATTGCTTGAGAAGCAAATGGGATCTGATCAAGGAGGCAGATCACCTCCAGCTGATTAGGACCTTTACTCAGCAGTGCTTCAGCAAGGGAATCCTCAATGCCATGAGGTGGTGTCACCCTCAATGTCACCTCATTCTTGCTCTCGATTGTTGAAAGATAGTGAATATTAGTGAGAGTTTAAGAGATAGAACACCTATATTCCTTTCCATTGGCCTCAGATTATATTTTCCCATAATTTGGGGGCAGGAAAAAAAGTGTAGTGGATGACCTTAAAAAGGGTTAATGTAATCTGAGAAAACAAGAAAACCTTTAAAACTTTTTCAAAGTGGAGGGGAGGAAAAGGGAGAAAAAACCTGAAAAGCTGGGTGCAACCTTGCTTTCAGCTCTGAGGCTCTTGCTTACTCTAAAGTTTTCCACATTGGGCTTTGAGGCACCCCCCCAATATGGTGTTATTTTCATCTGTTCTGCATGTTATTCTTGATTGCTAGCTGCCTCATGAAAAATAATTCCAGTGATAATCCTCTTGTAGCTAGCAACTAATGAACATGCTATAAAGGAGGCAGATAAATGATTATTGAAATATCTGAATAATGATTTTATGTTACTCATTTTGTACAAAAATTAACCTGTAAAAGTCAGTCTTTTTTTAAAAAAATCAAGTTTTAGTGTTGCTCTTATTGCCACTCTGAAGTTTATCCTAAACAGTAAACAACTCGAACAAGGACAAAGGTAATATTTAAACATATTTCATATGAGTCATTTGTTTCATACCCTACTCTAAATTCAATACCTGTATTTCAAGTACACAAATCCACAAAATATCTCTTTCCCAGCTCCAGATTCAATACTCCAGACTGAACAGCCACATTCTTTAACAAGGAGTAACAAACTCATATGAGCAATTCTGTGTCAGCTTCCTATTAATAGCAGTATCTCCAATTGCTTATGTTATTAGAACAATGTGTGATTTTTCCGAAAGCAGCACATTTCTCCTGGCAGATACCCTCAATTGGTCAAAACTCAGATTTTCTAGTTTTGTAATTTTTAGGTAAAATCACTTATTCATTACTGTAAATCATCCAATACATCAGTGATATTATTTACCTGCTATAACAAGCATTCCCAACCTGTTATCTTCCAGCTATAATAAAACTCTCCAAATTCTTTAATAGTCTGGTTTATACATAATGCTGAGCCATAATCAATAGACCTAAGAATCATGCTGAGTCACAAACAAGCTAGGTGTAAAAATGTGAGTTTGACTCAAAAAAAGGAGGAGGTGAATACAAAGCTAATACAAGAAAATACATCTGAGTCTTGAGAAACTAGAAAGTGTTAAAAAGAAATGCAAACTATTTTGATTGTGTAAGCTGGTACATTAAAGGAGAGGGGTTTTCAGATTCTGAAAAAATACTTGAACTGCATTAAGTGCATTTTAACATTTCTAATAATTCCTGTTTCCTGATCATGCCTACTTGAAGGGTTAACACTGGGCGATGGTTTGACATTCTTAGGAACAAGCTATAACATCTAACACTGGTTTAAAAAAACAAGTAATTGCAGGTCAGCCAGTAGGCAAGGAATAAGGATGGCCGAAAAGAAACTTAGATTAGTATCTTGTCTTAATTCATAATAAGCCTTCCAAGTGAGTATAAATTTACATTAATCTACTGAAAGTACAGAAGATCGACTTATTTGGATAGCATTGAACTATATATTGTTTAACAATGGTTTATTAAATACTGATTGCTTTCACACAGTTTACTAAGTAAAAATCAAGCAAGTCATATTATAGCTTAGAACAGTCTATGAGCAGCTAATCTGAGCTTGTGGCAAAACTAACTAAGCATCAACTCAATAAAGGAGCAGCTACATAAATCTTGAGATTTCACAAGATTTATCAAAATATTTAAAATATTTTCTTTTAAAGCCTATCCTATTAACTCCAACCCGAGATGCTTCATTTCACTTCAGCAAACTGGAATTGAAAATCCCACTTACAAAAATGAAACCTGGATATCATACACATACACACCCTTTGGCACTCGGGCTCATCACTCACCCCATTTAGGCTTCCAAGATCCTTCACCCAGTGCTCATCTTTTTCCTTGTCGTAATTGATTACAGCATGCTGCTTATCCACACTGCGAGACTGGGAAGACCAACAAGATTAAATTAGGAAGTTATAAAACAGAGATTGTTTTAATAGCCCCAATAATATACCAAGAGAGATATTAACACAAAGGGAAATGTACCTCTTTAACAGATATAATACCTATCAGATTTGGACAATATTACTCTTTATTAGTAGTAAGGTAAAGGTAAAGGTTTCCCTCGCACATACACTATATTGCCAAAAGTATTTGCTCACCCATCCACATAATCAGAAGCAGTTGTGAGCGAATACTTTTGTCAATATAGTGTATGTGCTAGTTGTTCCCGACTCTAGGAGGCGGTGCTCATCTCCGTTTCTAAGCCGAACAGCCAGCGCTGTCCGAAGATGTCTCCGTGGTCATGTGGCCAGCATGACTAAACACTGAAGGTGCACGGGGCACTGTTACCTTCCAACCAAAGTGGAAACCAAACCAACCTATTTTTCTACTTGCATTTTTTATGTGCTTTCGAACTGCTAGGTTGGCAGAAGCTGGGACAAGTAACAGGACTCACACTGTTACGTGGTACTAAGGATTCAAATTGCCAAACTGCCAACCTTTCTGATCAACAAGCTCAGCATCTTAGCAACTAACCCATTGCATCTCTTCATTAGGGGGGGAGGGGGGTAATAGTAGAACCCTCTCCATAAAAGTACCTAGAATATCTTACAATAGTGCCCATCCTGGCATTTACTTAATCAGATCTTAATCTTAATGAACATGTTTCCTTTATCTGGCTACTAGCTACCTACTATTTAAAATGATGTTAATTGTCTGGATCATTTCACAAATCTGGACTGGAAAGGGACTTCCAAAGACCATCACCCCCACCCTTCCCCTTGCCCATAGAGAGATTCATCTATGTCAGTCTCCCTGCCACCAACACACCACCTACTAAGCAATACAATTCAGCCCAAACATACTTCAGTTGGATCTGCATATGGTTAAATTAAAATGGATATTGTATGTTGTGAGACTCAACATGACCCAGGATACTTTTAAAGCCACACAGTAAAGTATTTCTATTTTCTTTCTGATTGGTGCATAATATGGTATAGTTTTATGATTTAGTGGGCTATGAGAACTTCACCAGTGATGCTCTCTATAAGGCAAACCAATACAACATTAAAAAGCAAATTCCATCTTTTTGGGGAAAATTCAGGCTTCAGAATATATGTTTATGTATATTCCTCTTTTCTAAATTCTGAACGCATGAATTTATTACTTATATATTGCAGAAAATAAGCATTTATACCAACTATTTTTTTACAATCTGTGTTGAATGAATGAGTCAGTTCAAAATTTCACATATATATATAACAGTCCAAGTTCTAGAAATATCTGAGACATTTCCTACTACAAGTAGGAGGCTGCAGTGTGCAGCAAGAAAAAAAGAAAGAAAGCTAAAGGGGTAAAAGAAATTTTGTTAATGATGTCTGAAGAGACTAGTTCGATCTTGTTTTCCCAAGAAAACGTGCAGGGAATCTAACAGTTTTATTCTTTTATTCATTGTGTGGATTTATGTAATCTTCAAGAACTCCCAGTGGCTTACAACAAGCTAAAACATCCACAGAAAATTACAAAGGAACATTAAAATTTTCCCCAGTAAAAATGCATCAGCATAATAACATACTGAAACAAAAAGAGAAAACACCCCAATTATTTTCCAAACATTCTTCAGAAAAACACGTTTAATCAATTTTTGGAGAGCTAAAGGAAGAAATGTTATATTGTTTCCTAAAGGAGGCTATTTTAAAGAACACCTTCACTGCAAAAAAATTTCTGAGCCCAAGCCCCACAGAAACCAAACTGCGGGATTGCAAACAGCAGCTCTCAGAACATGACTAGGGCAGACTGATTCTGAATGGAGAAAGCAGTCATTCATGTACCTAGCACCCTCCTACGGCTGAAATCAGAACACTGCACCACTAATATGTAGAGATCCAACCCTCAGATACCAAATGCCCCAGTCCTACCTATCCTGTTAGTCAGCAAAGTGAAGTTACCGTACTCCAACAGGATTTATCCTTTACCTCAAAAAGAAAAATGTTACCGGCCAATCCAGTTGCTTTTAGGGATATAAACTGAAAAACTGGTTTTAAATTTGTCAATGGAGCATTTTTAAACTATTAGTTTTTCTCCCTGCATTAGGAAAGGGGAGTGGAAACATTCACAGTATAAACCCAGCAACCGAAATCAGCATCTTTACAGCATCTTGAGCAAATTACTCAAGGAGGAGGTCCATGAGAATAGCCAATGTCACTTCTCTTCCAGGTGTTTTTGGGTTCTCTATTCAGCTACGTTCCATCTTTCCTAAACTTGGTTCCTAATCTTTACCCAGAATATCAGATGGGGAGAATTTTACTAGGAGGACAGCAGCAAGGCTTTCAATTACTATCACGTTTTGTTGCTTTTTCACTAAAAGAGGATGAAAAGTAATGCTTTGTCAGCTGGTTTAGCAGAAAAACAAAAGGCCACAGAGGTTATTTTAATGTCTAAAAAGAGTGTGCTCCATAGTGAAGTGTGTATATGTGTGTGTGTGTGTGTGTGTGTATGTATCTATTTAGAGTTACAACCCCCGTTATGCCCAAATATGGGAGGAAGTTCACTACTTCCATTCTCTGTCCATCGGCTTGTCACAAGAGACCATCCAGACCGAAACCCAATATTTTTACTGTTGCCTTTGTTACATTTTGTATTGTATTTGTGCTGATAAATAAATAAAGGGAGACTAGTACAGATCTATTTCAAGCTGTTTAGCTCTCATCAGCTAGCCATACCCTTACTAGATACCTATCACCCTGGCTTAGCTGATAAGGAGTCTAACTCTGTGGCTTGCGATTTCTCCGCGGGTGGTTCATGAAGCCAATGAGGAAAGAAGACTCGGACACGAATTTCCTTCGGGACAAAACCGACCCAGAACGAAGTCTGGGGGTCCTTTTTTATTGAGCATACACAAGGGAGGGGTGGATTCACATAGCCAATGGGGACCAATCACGATTGTGCAAGCTTACAGTATATGGTAACTCATTTACTCTCATGTAGACTCGAAGAACACTCATAGTCAATAAACCTTTTATCATCATGCAAACATCCAATGCTTAATTAATGTTTGAGAGTTAAACAGTTGTAACCCCTGATTTAATCAACGCTTAGTTACAAGTCTGTGGTTGCTGATCTGCTTAGTGTTAAGGGTACTGATTTAATCAACGCTTGGAGTTGGACAGTTTGTCTTACTGATCTAATCATATGGCCAATTATTGCTTTTAGTTTACTGATTTAATCATATGGTTAATTATTGCTTCTGTTCTATACGTGTTACAGTATGGCTGAATGCATACCTGCACGTATATCGCAACAGTGGCTTAATGGTTAACACATCTGCCTAAGATGCAATACAGCACAAGTTCGAATCCCAGTAAGGGTATGGCTAGCTGATGAGAGCTAAACAGCTTGAAATAAATCTATACTAGTCTCCCTTTATTTATTTATCAGCACAAATATAACACAAATATAACAACAAAGGCAACAGTAAAAATATTGGGAAGGGAATATTGCAATGAGTCGCAGGACTTCTAAGAATCTGTGGAAAACCCAATTAATAATGTCCTGCATCTTCTCTCAAGGATGAGAAACTGATCTCTAAGAAATCATAATGCTTCTAGAACTCCTCCAGCTGCCCAGCATGATTTAGGCTACAGTACTTAGCAGGAAAATTTGCCTCATTCTCATTCTATGTCCAAAACAACATAGGAAATGGGCAGGGGGAGCTGACTGATGCAGCAAAAGGCATTGAAAGGTAGATTACTTAGAAATCTAGAAGATCTACAAGTTACCTGTTAAAATGCTACACAAGCTCAACACAGAATAAAAACAAAAGATACAAAGCTGCTTTCTTACAAGGCTCAACTTTAAGCTGATATAATTGTTCACTCTACCTCTTAAAGTATAACAGTATATCCCATCACATATTTCTGCTACTTTAATTATCAGAGGCCTATGCTTTGCTACACCATGCACAAGAATTCAGATCAAAGTTCCATGTCATTCAGTGGACAAGTATTTAAAACAGCAGCCCAACTATCCATTTGTGGAATAAATTTCCTTCAGTGTTGGTTATTTAGTGCAAGTTGGAATGCCTGAAGTACAGATCAAGCATGTGTCAACTCCACAAGCCCAGGAGCATTTCCAAATCTAAACACAGAATTCAGAGTAGATGTAGAAGTGGATTCCTGGCCAATACCACACACACACACACACACCCCAGCAACTGGAGTTTTGTCCACAACTAGTTCAAACATAAGGCTTAATGAAGTTCCCATTTTTCACTATATAATTATTTCAGCCTTCTTAATCATAATGAGCATGTTGAATATTTTCAAATTGTGAAATAGGGTCAGAAAGCTTATAGAAAGATTAGGAGTAAATCACAGTAAAAAGAAAACAGTTGTTGGTTGTTCTATAAGTAAATATATACCGGTAATTAAGTATTCTGTTCTGCTTACAATCTTTGTTTAAACCAGTGTTTCCCAATCTTGGCAACTTTAGGTGTATGGACTTCCAATTTCCAGAATTCCCCAGTTCATACAAGGTAGCAGGATTGGAAAACCCTGGTTTAAACCAACTCAATTATTGCCCCATATTCTCAAAAGCTCTTAAGAAGAAATTGATGCCAAGCCTTAACATCTGGCCCAAGAACAAACCCTAGCAAGCCTCTAACACACATATTCCCCACTTCATTTGGCACAGCCTTAAAGACTACTCAATAATTTTTTTCTTTGCTTGCAATAACAAACATAATGCTTTATAATTATGTTTGTTATCGCAAGCAAAGAAAAAAAGTATTAGACAAAATGCTAGTAAACCTTTTAAGATGAATTAAAATAAACTAATTTCAAGCTATATATTGTAATTTATAGCTCACCTATCCTCCCATAGAAATATAGTTATGATTGTTTAAATTGTTTCGGTTTACCTTGGCAATAAACCGTGGCTTATTTTAAGTACTGTTTTTTAAAAAGCTAAAATGCTGGATTCACTATTGCACTATCCAATAAACCATTTTTACACATCAAATTAGCTGAGTTCACATATTGATATAAGTCATAAAACAAATCACATTATGGCTTAGTGTGACGTAGAAACACAGGCACTATATTTAAAGCAGTATAATATGTTGTCTGAACCAAACTCTGGTTCATCTAAGGCAGTGGTCCCCAGCCTTTTTTGGCCATGACCCACCTAAGCATCTTTAAAATCCTGATTTCTCCCCCCCCCCCCCAAATATAATTCTTACTTTACTCAAAAAGTGAACTCTACTCACGGGGAGGAAGCCTAAAAGGCCATTAACTTGGTTTAAACAAGGTTCAAATTGCCCCCATTAAAAATCAAATTGCCCCCCTGGGGGGCCTGGGCCCCAACTTGGGAGCCACTGATCTAAGGGGAATATTTTCACCAAAAAAGGAGGGAAATATCATGTCCCAAAGCTTTCTGTGCTTGTATTGATCATGACAAACTATGGGTTAGACAATAGCTGGAGCTGGGGAATTCTGAGAAGTAGAAGTCCACAACTGTAAGTCATGACAGTCATAAAGTGGATTATCACATGACTGACTCAATATTACAACTTTTGCAGAGGTGATTAAATAAATCAGCAAGATCATTAAGTGAATCCACAGTTATTAAGCAAACTCATTGTTCACTATGGAGCATTGTTTCTGAAAACTGGAAGCTAATGCCAGTTTTCAGCAAAATCATAAATTGATTGGCCCAACCATCAGAATTTTGGAACTGGGTTATAAGTAGGGGGTGGGTTCCCATCATATCTTTGAAGGATTGCTAAGCAGATGGTCATTAATTGAGGCCTGCCAACATGGGTGCCTATGGCTGGACCTCAATCATCCCTTCCTGCTTCAAACCTGAATATGAATCATGGTGTATATTATGGTTAGCTGAAATCCTACTCTCATGGTTAGAATTAAAACTCTGCCTTTTTATGTAGAGAATGCACTTACGTGGAGCATGAGTTCACAGTCTTCCCTGCCAACAAATATCATCTCCCGAGGAAGCCGATGGCGAATACCTGTCCCACTCACCAGGAACCATGATGTCGTGCTCATTTTACTGTTTGGCATTTTAACTTTTCACCATCCTATCTGAGCAAAAGAGAAAAATCTGGTTAGGTTTGTAATAATAATCTTTCTAGAAGTCCAATTACTTCTGATTAAAAATCCATCATGTTTATATTTCAGAAGATAGACACTATATGTGTCTATGTCCCATTACAATAACAATCAATGGTTGATATAGTATAACCTTTATTGTCATTGTACATCATGTATACAATGAAATTGGTTATGAATGAAAACTCACCAGAAGCCAAGCCCTGAAAAAAATTACCAATAGGGAAATTAATTTCTCAAACACATTAGAGAGAGACAAGACAGTTTGTCTGTTGATTATTCTGATGTCTTAATAGAATATAATTTTCAGTCCAATACAAAACAGTCAAGTATGTCAGCAGAGCAATGAATGAGACTTTAAGAGAGAAGGGAAAGTAGTGCATCTTGTACAAGATTCAGAAACCGAGCATAAAGAAGATACAATATATACTATACATTTAATTTTGAGGGGTCTTTGGTGCTGATGTTACCTACTTTGAGTAATGAAACAATCTGCAAAAAAACAATCATGCTCAGAGAGCACCAAAGTAGAGCGCACCATTTCAACTCTGAGCTACAAATATTCTCCTATAATGATACATTTATATTTTGTTAGCAAATTAAATTATTTGGCATCTACACAAACTGAAGGTTATACAACATGCTAAAGTACAAAACAACAAAACATATCTAGTATGTTGTGCAAATGTAACTGACATGGTTTAGCACAGTGTATAAATTCAGCCTTGTAGTCAACAATTGTGACTACTTAATCCCCATTTAAACTGATAATCCCGATTTATTCCTCTTTTTAAAAGGCTATGGTTATAACTCAGGGTTTGCTTTTAACTCATTACTCTTGGAGGAGGGAAAATGTCTATGGAGTTCATGTTTATTTATGTGGTCAATCCCAATCAATTAAGATTTAAAGTACTCATTCATTAAATTTATATTTACTTCAGTTCAAGGCAGTGTACATAGTATACCTGCACCCAAATATTCTCTCAATAACTGTCCTATAAGATAGGTTGATCTAAGTGATAATGATTTGCCAATAGTCATTCAAAGAGTTTCTACAATGGTATTTAGACCTGCAATTAAATCTTGCCAGGTATATTTAGCATTTAAATCACTCTCAAATATATACCACTCTCAAAATTCTACAATATCCAGGTTTGTTATATCTCAGTGTTGGTGAACCTTTTCAGAACTTAGTACCGAAAAGGGAGTGCCAGAAACCAGAAGATCAGTTCCCTGGTGTGCATGTGCGTGCCACGATGCTGAGCTTCTGGTTTCCGGCATGCGTATGTGCACTGGTCACTGGTATTCCAATTTCTGACATGCATATGCACACAAAATCCAGCTGGCCATCGGCAGAAACCAGAAGCTCAGCTTCCCAGAGCGCACATGAGCACAAGGGAGCTGGTCTTCCCATTTCCGGTGCTCCTGTGCACGCAAAGACTGGCGCGCCAGAACCCAGAAGAGCAACAGAGGACAGCTGGCATGTCCAGAGAGATGGCACTGTGTGCGACTTCCAGCACGTGTGCCATACGTTCACCATCACGGTTATATCTATATATCTAACCTGTAGTACAGTAGTGGAGAAACTCACAACCTACCAGTCAAATGTAGACTCTGAATACTGTTGGTCATACTTCAAGCTTTATTGAATTTATGCTGCTAAATTTCAGAAAAACAGTCCCAAGAAAAAAATTCTAATTTTTTACTCTGTTTCCAAAATAATGGAGCATTAAAGTATTAGTCTTTCTTTAAAAATATGTAATAATTAATTTGTTTGACAGGACTAAGGAGGCCTAGGTTCAAATATAAACTCAGCCAGAAAAGTTCACAAAGTAACTTGATCTTTTACTTTCTATCACACTAACCTGTGTCTCAAGATTGGATAGCTAAAAATCATGAGAATTAGTGCTACATGCATCAAAATTGAGTTCCTGGAAGAAAGGCAAAATATAAATCTAAGGAATAACATCACCCAGAATCTCCAAAGCCCAAACTTCATGATCATGTGTGTAGTATCATGACATAGATCCCTGCAACCTTCAGTAATTGCCATGCTCGAAAACATGCACATGAAAGACCAGACTTTCTGTTAAACCTTGGCTTAATTTACACCTATGCTCTCACCATATACTTGAAGGAGAAGATAATCTTCTCTGGGGCAAGTCATTCAAGTAAAAAAATGAAAATGGGTTTGTTTGTTTTTTAAATATAAATTGTAATTTCAAAAATTAATTTCAGGGAAGCATACACAAAATATAAATTAGTACAATTTACAGAAATAAAGGATAATAACCATAGAAAACACAAGCATATTCAATCAGAAATAAATTTCTGCATGTTGGTCTTCTTTGAAAGGAAAAGGTGACAACACTTTTATATTCTCTTTCTATAAATAATAGGCATTAAATTAACATATCCAGGAAGTAGCAGTGGCAGAAAATTAGCATATCAAATAGGAATACTGGCACTGGCAGTAATAACAGATCTTCTGTATGAACAATTTTACTTATAAATTCATTCCCAACACACCTTAAATAATTTAAAAACAACTCCTGTCTCCTAACTTTCTATCATGCAGAATTTAATTATCTTAATAATACTTGTGTGTAGGCTAAGAATACTCAGAATTAGGTGTATCTATTTCAAAAAACAATTTTATGCATTTCCAAATATTCTCATTATTTATTGAATGCATATCCTGCCTTTCATGCAGGTGGTCAAAGAATATATAATGTTCCATCTTATTTCTCCCTATAACAATCTTATGAGGCCTAAAGCCACTGTGCTGGAGGATGAATTGCTAGAAAATATCTAATTACCTAGGGATTTCTTTTTCTATGTAATATTTATTTGATTGCTTAAAACTATGCACTCTCTTTCCTAAAAATTAAAAACAGCAATAAAGTAAAAATAATATTTTTAAATTAGCAAAACAACCCAAAAATAGTCAAAGAAAACAACTTCCACAGAAGTAATGTTAAATATATTTGTTTCATTGGCATGAAATAATCTGGTAAGGAGATAGCTCAAATTTGGTAATGTGTTTAATAATCATTTTTGAATAACAGCATTTCCAAAATTAGATTGAAACTGAAAATGTTGTCAACATCCAAATGAAACATAAGTATTTTTTTAAAAATCTAAGTTTAGGAACATAAAGAGGAGCCAGATTTAAATTCTCTGTCTAGAACAGTGTTTCTCAACCTTGGCAACTTGAAGATGTCCGGACTTCAACTCCCAGAATTCCTCCTCTCGCTCTTCATGTTGATGAGGTCAGGTGGGGGGGGGGAGGGAGCTGGAACCAGTTCTAAATGGCATGGTAGATTTGTGGAACCTCTTCTATAGAAGAGGTTAGAACTGGCAGGAACCCACCCCTGGTCCCTACCTACCTAACTACTCTCTCTCTCCCCCTACCTACCTACTGGATTCTCTCTCTTTCTCTCCCTCTCTATCCCTCTATCTATCTACCTACTTTTTTTAAAAAAAATTGCCT